CTCAAAAAATCATAAAAACGTATCAACAAAAAAGAAATTATTGAAAAACACCATCCTTAAGGATTATTAAAAATGGTATTGAAAAAATGTATTAATGATAATTCTACATTGGCAGACACAACGAGGATCTTATCGTTACCCCCTTCGCTCAGATCCTGGCTAGCCTACGTACTGTCAGATCTAACTATATTTCACTCACAAACCTACCCGCAAAGTAAGAGTCCTAATTATAATTTATCTTAATTAAGTAAAATATTAAAAAAAGATTTAATCCGAAATTGTTATTCCCAGGAATAGGAATGAAAGAACAAATACTCGAGAATCCAACGCTAGTTTGCACAGAGCAGGAACAGGTACATGGAGAAGCAGGGTTACAGGGGCACCTGGAGATACCTCGGGAGACACATGGGGAACCTGGAGATACAAGGGCACCTGGAGATACGTAGGGAGATACATGGGGAACCTGGAGATACAGGGGGGTTTAAAGATACAAGAGTAGAGGGAGATACCTAGGGAGATACATGGGGAACAGCTGGAGATACAGTGGCACCTGGAGATACGTAGGGAGATACATGGGGAACCCGGAGATACAGGGGGGTTGAAAGATACAAGAGTAGAGGCAGATACCTAGGGAGATACATGAGGATATATGATGATACAGGATAAATGGGGATAAAGAGGAATACAGGAAATCTTCTGAATAAAAGATTATTTAATACATAAACATTACAAAGTATCTTATGTTTAGATGAGATCAACATGAGGCTAGCTCTAGAAACCCTGGAGGAGCTGGATTGGTGTCTAGATCAACTTGAAACCATGCAAACACATAGAAGTGTCTCCGACCTGGCCAGTAACAAAGTCAGTAAATAAATTATATAATCAAACCCTAATCATTCTCTCTAACCATTCTGCACACTATATATCCTACACATTCTACACTCGATATATCCTACATATTCTACACTCTATAGATCCTACACATTCTGCACTCTTTATATCCTACCCATTCTACACTCTATATATCCTACACATTCTACACTCTATAGATCCTACACATTCTACCCTCTATAGATTCTACACATTCTACACTATATATCCTACCCATTCTACACTCTATATATCCTACACATTCTACACTCTATATATCCTACACATTCTACACTATATATCCTACACATTCTACACTATATATCCTACATATTCTAAACTCTATATATCCTACACATTCTACACTATATATCCTACACATTCTACACTATATATCCTACACATTCTACACTATATATCCTACATATTCTAAACTCTATATTTCCTACACATTCTAAACTCTATATATCCTACACATTCTACACTATATATCCTACATATTCTAAACTCTATATTTCCTACACATTCTACACTCTATATATCCTGCACATTCTACACTCTTTATATCCTACACATTCTACACTCTATGTATCCTACACATTCTACACTCCATATATCCTACACATTCTAAACTATATATCCTACACAATACACATTCTACATTCTATATATCCTACAGATTCTACCTCTATAGATCCTACACATTCTACACTCTATGTTCTACACATTCTACATTCTATGGATCCTACACATTCTATAGATCCTACACATTCTATAGATCCTACATATTCTATAGATCCTACACATTCTGTAGATTCTACACATTCTATGGATCCTACACATTCTAAAGATCCTACACATTCTAAAGATCCTACACATTCTATAGATCCTACACATTCTATAGATACTACACATTCTATGGATCCTACACATTCTGTAGATCCTACACATTCTATAGTTCCTACACATTCTATGGATCCTACACATTCTATAGATCCTACACATTCTATAGATCCTACACATTCTATAGATTCTACACATTATATAGATTCAACACATTCTATGGATCCTACACGTTCTATAGATCCTACATATTCTATGGATCCTACATGTTCTAAAGATCCTACACACTGTATAGATCCTACACATTCTATAGATACTACACATTCTATGGATCCTACACATTCTATAGATCCTACACATTCTATAGTTCCTACACATTCTATAGATCCTAAACATTCTATAGATTCAACACGTTCTATAGATCCTCATTCTATAGATCCTTGAAAATATGTGCTTTTTTATAATTTAATTTCACGATTTTCTTTTAAAATCTTAAAATAAAATCCATTTATATCGGAAGATTTCAGTTTCTATTTTTGTCACAATACATACACAGAAATATTGTAGATATACGTATTTACTAGCTGAAGTGCCCGGCGTTACTCGTGGATTTTTTTAATCGAGAAGAAAAAAAATTAGATTTTTAAAAATCGATTTTTTAAGAAAAAAATTCGAATTTTTTAAGTAAGAAAATTTAGATTGTTTTTTAGCTATTTTTACCCCCCGGGTTACTCAAGGGTTACCTAAAAAGTTTTAGCCCATTCGGCCCAGACGTTTGGCAAGCTATAGTTATATCAAATAGCTAGATGAAGAGCTTTCTTATATAGATTGATGACAAGTTTTGAAAATTTTAAATATTGTTTGTTTAGTTCCGTCGGATGCTCAATAAGGAACTCTCCCAGTTCTCCGAGAGTTCCAAATCTGGAAACCAGATTTCAGAATACATATTCTCCACGTTCCTTGACAAACAGCACGAAATGGATCCAGGAACAGAGGAACAGGAACCCTTCCAGACGGTTCGGAGACACACACCATCTCCCGAGGTTTCCAGCAAGAAGAAAATTATGTCGAAAATAACAATTCACCAGGTTAGGAATAGGATATATAAAAGGAGAAGGAAAAGAAAGATATCAAAGAAAACTGAAATACTGAAGAGGATTAGTACTTGCGGGAAAAAAATGTTATGAAAGATTAAAGGAGAGAGTATTGCTGAATCATAGTAGTAGTTGTAAAACTTACGAAAATAACAATAAGGATGGATTGAATAGAATTGATGATCAAAGGATAACAAGGACATCATAAAGATGAAGATAAAGAATGAATGGAGTGGATAAAAAGGAAGAAATGAATAGAATAAGATGGAAGGTATTGATAGAATAAGATAGAAGGATTAGAAAGGAAAAGATGGTAGGAATATATAGGATAAGAAGGAAGGAATAGATAGGATAAGAAGGAAGGATGAGATAGGATAAGAAGGAAGGAATAGATAGGATAAGATGGAAGTATTTGATAGGATAAGAAGGAAGGAATATATAGGATAAGAAGGAGGGAATGAAGAGGATAAGAACAAAGAAATCAAGAGGATAAGAACGAAGGAATGAAGAGGATAAGAAGGAGAGAATGAAGAGTATAAAAATGAAGGAATGGAGAGTATAAAAAGGAAGGAATAAAGAGGATAAGAAGGAGGGAATGAAGAGGAGGAAAAGAGAGTATAATAAAGAAGGAATGGAGAAAATAAAAATTAGATACAAACAGACAAAGTATATATTAATAAGAGAAATGTCCTAATTTAGAAAGATATGTAAATCCAATTTCAAGATTTCAGAGGCTATTGTTTACAGAATAACAAGATTTCAATTATGAGAATTTTAATTAGTTTTCTATTTATTAATGAAGAGATTGTAATCAAGGGTTATTAATATTCTCAGGATGAGGTTGAACCCAGTATCCTGGAGGGTAGTATACCTGCACTAGGAGTACATACTAATCATCCAACAGAACTAGCCACACTTCTTATAGATGTTAACAGGTAAAATTAATCTTTATAGTCAACGTGATCCTCCATTTACAGAGTTACACACCGATTCACAACGGTACCATTTAAAACTTTATTTTATTATAATAGCCTGTATACTAAGTTATCAATTTAAAGTGTACCGTTGTGAATTCGGCATGTAAACATGTGTATATGTAAATATGTATACAATCTACATGATACAAGAATTAGGATACCCTCCAACCTCAATTACTCTTTACAACCCTAACCCGCCATCCCGTTCTGCCATTCTAGTTTATGTAGTTCTCATCAGTGTAAAATCAGGTTAATGGATCACAAAGAGCTCTTCAGACTAAACCTGCTACCCAGGGCTTACAAATATAAATATAAATATTAATATAAATACATGAGTTTACATACTGGACGAGTAAAAAACGGATAAAGCGTCGTTTAATAACCCTATAAAGGAACTGAGTTTTTGCCACAAACTAAAATTTTAACACCCCTATATATTTCCATTTTCCAACCTGTTGGTGTAAACCTTTGATATTTCAAACTGAGATTATTTGATATAACAGAATTCAAAGTTTTAATTCTCAAAAGTATATGATTTTTTTGCAACAACACAGTGGCTTTTTCAGTGAAAAAATCGTTAAATTTTTTCCCAGAATAAACAATTTGGAGAATTTTTTTCTGTTTATACGTAGCAAAAAACATTTTTGTTAAAGATTTCAATATTGTTCAGCCGAAAATATGAACCAATCTTTGAAATCTTTGAATATTTATTTAAAACGTATCCGCCTATGAAAAGGTACAAAAGAGAAAAAGCGTAAAACCTTATGGTTAATAGATCAAATTGTGATCGAAATAGTTATAAACTTGATCCACTATATAGTTCTAATAGTTATAAACTAGATCTACTATAGTTCTAATTGTTATAAACTAGATCTACTATAGTTCTAATAGTTATAAAGTAGATCTACTATAGTTCTAATAGTTATAAACTAGATCCAGTATAGTTCTAATTGTTTTAAACTAGATCTACGATAGTTCTAATAGTTATAAACTAGATTTACTATAGTTCTAATAGTTATAAACTAGATCTACTATAGTTCTAATGGTTTTAAAATAGATCTACTATAGTTTCTAATAGTTATAAACTTGATTCACTATAGTCTAGTAGTTATTAACTTAATTTACTATAGTTCAAATAGTTATAAACTAGATCTACTATAGTTCTAATGGTTATAAACTAGATCCACTATAGTTCTAATAGTTATAAACTTGATCCACTATAGTTCTAATAGTTATAAACTAGATCTACTATAGTTCTAATGGTTATAAACTTGATCCACTATAGTTCTAATAGTTATAAACTTGATCCACTATAGTTCTAATAGTTATAAACTTGATCTACTATAGTTCTAATGGTTATAAAATAGATCCACTATAGTTGTAATAGTTATAACTAAATTTACTATAGTTCTAATTATTATAGACTAGATCCACTATAGTTCTAATAGTTATAAATTTGATTAACTATAGTTCTAGTAGTTATAAACTAGATCCACTATAGTTCTAATAGTTATAAACTAGATATACTATAGGTCTAATAGTTATAAACTAGATCTACGATAGTTCTATAGTTAAAAACTAGATCTACTATAGTTCTAATTGTTATAAACTAGATCCACTATAGTTCAAATAAGCTAGATCTAATATAGTTCTAATGGTTATAAAATAGATCTACTATAGTTCTAATTGTTATAAACTAGATCTACTATAGTTCTAATAGTTATAAACTAGATATACTATAGTTCTAATAGTTAGAAACTAGATCCACTATAGTTCTAATAGTTATAAACTAGATCCACTATAGTTCTAATAGTTATAAACTAGATCCACTATAGTTCTAATAGTTATAAACTAGATATACTATAGTTCTAATGGTTATAAACTTGATCTACTATAGTTTTAATGTGTTTAAACTTAATTTGCTATAGTTCAAATAGCTAGTTACAATATAACACTATTTAATATAGTTATAATGGTTATAAATTTGATTTACTATAGTTCAAATAGCTGTAAACTTAATTTACTACAGTTTTATTAGTTATAAACTTGCTTTACTATAGTTCAAATAGCTCGTTATAAACTTGGTTTATTATAGTTGATATATTTATATAATATGATGTAGAAAATGTTTATTGTTTAGCTGGGGAATGAACGTGTTTGCTCCCGGAGAATTGATCAAGGATCAAAGAATTCTTACCTGTGTTACTTATAAAATATTCCAGGTGGGAATCTACATATATATAAAGTAGTAATCTGAGTTTGTCTGTCTGTTTGTTTGTTTGATTTGTATAGACGATCATAGCCTAGGAGCCCCTGGACCGATTTTCCTTAAATATATATTGTTTAACTCGGCAGAACCACGAAAATGTTCTTAGATTGGACTATGTTGATTTATATGTATATATATATAAAAATATTCCGAACAATATTTTAAAACATTCCTGTACTTTTTAGCTTCTTTACATTTAAAAATTCAATAGAAAACAGAGGCCGAATTTAAAGAATTTGAGCCAGGGCTTGAATTTAAACCGCGGCTCAAATATGGCTGGTTCCACTTAAAATCGTATTCAATGTTTCAAGATTTAAGCCGGCGCTCAATTGAAACCGGTTTTTGGGGATTTGAGACGCGGCTCAAATTTATTAAATTCGAATTTAATGCTTTTATCCTCCTCTGATACTAAACGAACACCACATGCATCTATTCTTGTTTACAAATTCCGCCCAGTTTCAATATGTACACAGAGTACACGTAACTGCAATTAACTTTCCTTGCATTACTACCTTGATGATATGTATTTATCTTATATATAAAGCAAATCTAAGTATTAATGAGAAAGATATAGTATCTAAAGTGTTAAAGTCTTACAATTTTCTTCACTGTCTCTGCACATGAATCACTTTACAAAGAAACCACAATTGAATAAACTTGATTTTTAGCTAGAAAATTAAGAATATTTTATTCATTCGCCGTTGTGAATTTGATATTTATGACAAGAAATTACGTCTAAAGTTCCATGAAGTTCTGTGGAACAGAAGTATTGTATTTTAAGTAAGTGTTATTGATGTTAAGATAAACCAGGATTACAATAGACAAGTTTAACTATTCTCTCCAGGTTCTGGACAATGGATAACTTGGAACTTTTCAGTTGAAAACTTTAAAGAAATGTAAACGTAATTTTAAGTCTCTCTCCATTGATAGAGTGGTATGTCCGATTTACAACGATACCCTTAAAAGCCTTTTCTGAATTAGATATCCATGTTTTTGTTACTGAAAACTGATTATTATCGTTTGTGGTTTGTCTAGATAAGTAATTTGAGTATTTCTAGCTCTAACAACAATGGAGAAATTTTCAGAATTTAACACTTTAAAATAATTGCTTTTTTTAAATTTGCGAAAAAACAAAGAAAGATTTGACTAATATCTTTTTCAGCACCATCTTAATATAATAATAATTTCTAAATATGTATTTTGCACCATATTATGTAGTATATGTTTGCTGTAAATAAGAAATAGTAAAAGATATGTTTTCTCTACGATATTGTGTAGTGTATAATCATCATCTTGATTTACCCTTAACAAGGTAAATTGAACCATCATCATAGATATAAATATCCCACTTAATATCTATATATACCCATATTGTATATAAAGAAAGATATCCATGGTAATATTTGTAATTCCAACATGGATAAAGCAAGTCTCTTAATTAGAGAGAGAGAGAGAGATGTATTCTGCTGACAATTAATCTAATTAATGAATAAATAAAAAAACATTGAATCAAATTATAATAAATTATGCCAGAATGAATAATGCATTGCGTGATGAAAGAAAACAGAATTAAAGATAAAAAATGTGTAAATATATATATATGTAGAATTGTCAATGCTCCGCATCTCCTTCCTGCATAGTGATACCATGATATTTGTAGGACCGTGAAATATCCCGGAGTTTCAGTATTCCTAGTGATACCATGATATTTGTAGGACCGTGATATATCCCGGAGTTTCCGTATTCCTGGTGATACCCTGATATTTGTAGGATCGTGATATATCTCGGAGTTTCCGTATTCCTGGTGATACCCTGATATTTGTAGGATCGTGATATATCTCGGAGTTTCCGTATTCCTGGTGATACCCTGATATTTTTAGGACCGTGATATATCCCGGAGTTTCCGTATTCCTGGTGATACCCTGATAAACTTCCTGATGACCCTAGAAGATCACTACCTGAAACATGTTCCCTATCATAACAACTACCATGCTGCAGATGTTACCCAATCCACACATATCCTTCTCCGCTCTCCAGCTCTAGAGGTAGAGATTAGAAAACCAGTCGGAAACATTTTTATTGGAGATGTCCGTCTAGTCCAAGATTATAATGTTTCTAGTTTATAATTTTGTTCATGTTGTATGAGCAATGGCCGCAATATATATATGAGTCTTAGAAAAACATACTGACGTCACAAAACAGAATTTGAATGGAGACGACATCTCCAGTACATCAGAGTGCTTAACCTCTAACATGTAACCTTTTAAATTTAAATAGATTTATATTAAAAATCATGATTATTTTTATAATGTCCAAAGCAAGACTGTAAAATCATTAAGATTGCACATTTTTTTCTTTTGAAAAAAAAACTTGATTCATTGATGCAGGGGTGATTTTTTATTTTTTTCCATTAACTGAACTGGTGCGGTCACATCTCCCGATTTATTAAACATTTAAAGTATATTTTTTTCTTCCAGACTGTTTTCTAATGTTTTCTTATGTTCAGGGTGTATTTACTCCTCTTGAGGAACTTGCTGCTCTACTCGCTAGTTCTGTTCATGATGTTGATCATCCAGGACTCACTAATCAGTACCTTATCAATACTAGTAAGTATACACGTGTTTATCAATATTAGTAAGTATACACGTGTTTATCAATACTAGTAAGCAGGGGCGTATTCAGGAATTTGTCCAGGGGGGGCTTAATTTTTTTTTCTTTCCAGGGAGGGGCTCAGCACCCGTTGGGGCCTGAAAACTCCCTGAAATCAATAGATCTTACTGGTTCAGGGGGGCTTAGCCCCCATAGCCCTCCCTGAATACGCCTCTGCTAGTAAGTATACACGTGTTTATCAATACTAGTACGTATACACGTGTTTATCAATACTAGTAAGAATACACGTGTTTATCAATAATAGTAAGTATACACGTGTTTATCAATACTAGTAAGTATACACGTGTTTATCAATATTAGTAAGAATACACGTGTTTATCAATACTAGTAAGTATACAGGTGTTAATCAATACTATTAATTATACACGTGTTTATCAATACTAGTAAGTAAATACGTGTTAATCAATACTAGTAATTATACGCGTTATTTTATTTCTATATCATATATTACTAATTAGACACTTTTTCATTAACGATGACGTAAAAAAAAAGAATGTCCATTTTCAATTCATTTCCGGTTTTTATTTTCTCAGTCTTGTAATCCTCTCCTGATTAATAATGCATTGTTTTCCTCCTGTTGAGAAGTTAGAAGTTACAGTTAGCGGAGAGAAGTTTTATTTTATTGGGATTGTGTAGCTGTGTACTGAATAACAAGTATACAGAGATTATAGTATATGATTTCTTATTGCTTCTTAAAACAGCTTATTCGTATTGGAAATTCAGGACTTAAATTTATCGAACAGGCAAAAGTCTTTTTTTCTATTTTTAAAACAGATAAATTGAGTCAATTTTCTTCCTGTCTCTGCTTTACAAATACGAAAGTGAGTTTACTAGAGAATCCATCATTTAAATTTATAATTATCGGAGAGGAAAATAAGAATATCTCCATCATTTATGCCCAGACAAAGGTTCATAGTGTTTCGTTGTGAATCGAACATGTAATTCTTTCAATGAAGGATCATTTGAAATTACTCTACAGTACCTTTAGATAAAATAGGATGTTCCAAACAAACAGGAAGGATTCCCAAAATAAGAAAAATTAGGATTCCTCAAAAATACAGATAGTTGTCACTGATCTTGTAACTAGTAACATTCTCAAAAAATCATAAAAACTTGATCAAGCTGTGAATATATTATGAATATTACCCTAAATGGTCTAAAAATTTTAAAATCAGATTTGGAACCTCATTTTGGAAAAATTAGGAATCATTCAATTTTTTCTTAAACTAAATATTTGTCTTTTTATGAGATTTTCCAAGGTAAAAAGGGAAGGAAAGTTAATTGCTGTTAATTGAGTATTCTCTGCGTACATATTGAAACCAGTTCTCTCTGGGCGGTGTTTGTAAACAAGAATAGATGCATCATGTTACTCTGTATCCGAGGAGGATAAAAGCGTTTAATTTTGAAAATTTTGATAATTTACATAATAGTTTCCTATGACCAGAATATTTCATTGATTTTTTATGTGAAAATGGATCCATGTCAGTGACATCCATCTTGTGTTTACTTTACCGCCCAGAGACAGTACACTGCAGTACTAAAATTGCGTACACATCTGAAATAACTATCTTTGCATTATAATTATTTGAGATTGTCGACGTAGTTTTAGGTAACCCTTGAATTAAACCTTTACATGTCCGATTAACAACGGTATCGTTTGTCCCTTCATCAGATTAAAAATGAGGAAGAATCGTCGTTTTATACTGATCATAAAACGATATAATTTCTATAATTTTACAGCACAAATCGGCAATTTATAGAATACTGCATTTAAACCTAATCAATATTAATTTTGAAAATCGTGGATTACTCCATCACATTTTGTTAAACAAAGGTTTAAAGGGTAAGATTGTGAATCGGTTATGCCACTCTATAAATTACGTTCACAGTCCCTTTAAGTCAATTTAGATATCGTCATTGGCACAACCTTCATCAGCGTTTAATGTACGTATTAAATGTAATCTACAATGGAATCCATAGAACTGTGGATTAGGAAGAAGTCTATATCTATATGTGTATTTGATGTTGGTATAAAGCAGAACTGTTTTAGAACAATGAAAGTAAGTGAAATGGGTTTGTGTACACTGTACAATTGCTTAATTTCATATTCAAAACTTAAGTTTAATTGTCGTGTTCCTTTTCCACAGATTTTTGGGTCTCACTGAATTTTATTTAAGGTTCTGAGCTGGCCCTGATGTACAACGATGAATCTGTTCTAGAAAACCATCATCTCGCGGTCGCATCAAAAATTCTTCAGAATCAAAACTGCGACATTCTCTCCGCCTTGTCGAACAAGCAGAGGATGTCGGTTCGAAAGATGATGATCGACATGGTGCTCGCGACGGATATGAGTAAGCACATGAGCCTGCTGGCGGACCTGAAGACTATGGTTGAGACGAAGAAGGTTGCTGGTAGCGGAGTTCTCCTCCTGGATAATTACAATGATAGGATCCAGGTATACCAGCTTGGCGTCACTAATTACAATGATAGGATCCAGGTATACCAGCTTGGCGCCACTAATTACAATGATAGGATCCAGGTATACCATGCAGCTTGGCGCCACTAATTACAATGATAGGATCCAGGTATACCAGCTTGGCGTCACTAATTACAAAGGCGATAGTGTCGTCATATGACATTTTCCGTACATTGGAGCACATCGAGAGTTATCTCATTTATTATACGACCTTGACCAGCTCCTAAGCTAGACTGAAGCTAAATACGTCCTAGCTATGCTCAATCAAAATACATAAATATAACGTAACTGAGAATTTAAAAAGTATTGAACAGGAAACTAGAATGAAAAATAGTAAAAAAGAAAAATCTATATTTTTATCTTAATTTTGAAGTTTTCTAATTACAGAACATTTTTACAATTTGTTTTGGAACTGCATGAATTTGGCTTAATTTTCATTATATCGTTGTAGTAATTAAAAATTTTTTATGTAATTTCATAGAACATATAGAAAGCTTAATTTTTTTCTTCTCCTTCACTAAAATTCCAATCTGAAGCCAACCTTTCTGACTTATAGACACTGTTTTATCTTTAAAAAATTAAGAAATTCATCAAAAATCTGATCCAACAGGTGCGGTGCCCCCCCCCCCCCCGTGATCACAGTCAACCGCTCAGTTACGGTCCTTATTCGTTAAAGAATGCATCAAGATTATTTCATCTCGTTTACAACAAAAATGGTTTCCATGTAAACCAGTAAACCCTTTTATAAACTCTTTCTCGAAATAAATAAAATAATAATATTAATAAAATAATTTATAGATTTTGTCAAATTGCCATTTTTACTTTTAATTTCATGGGCCATAGAGTTTATGGAAGTATAGATTACACTATTGTGTGCAAGGGAGGAAGAATAAACTATAACGTGGATGCTGGTGGGAGGGGAGAGGGGGGGGGTACAAAGTGTTCACAGAATCAACGTTTTGGTAAAGTTGAACACCTGTTTGTTAACATTAACTTTAAATCCTTCTGAAATTGAAATATATTTAACGTAACCTTATTCCTACTCACCTTTCAAAAGCCAATAATGCATGGCCCAGGCCGGGGGGGGGGGGTACACCTTTTTTTGCTTATTCTTATTGTCGTTACTTTATTTATGGCTTCTCATAATTTTTTTAAAAATTTTTGGACTTAAATTCAAGAATCTGCAAAAAAAATCAAGTATTGTTTTTTTCTCACAGTCTGTCTTTTCCAATAGTTTTTGGATTTCCAGAAAGCAAAATTAGTTGAAATTCAATTACTAAAATAGATATGCCTGAGACATTAGATAGTTTTGTGTAAAAGCCAGAAGGTGACATGAATTAAGATTTTAAAGATGATGTTTGAATAATTATCTTATTCATATTTAATATAGGTTCTACAGAATATGGTTCATTGCTCCGACCTATCCAACCCAACCAAACCTTTGAAGCTCTACAGGCTCTGGGTGGACAGGATCATGGACGAGTTCTTTATGCAGGGAGATAAGGTAATATTGGAGTAGGACAAGTTAATATTAGAGAAGGACAAGTTAATATTGGAGTAGGACAAGTTAATATTGGAGTAGGACAAGTTAATATTGGAGTAGGACAAGATAATATTGGAGTAGGACAAGTTAATATTGGAGTAGGACAAGATGATATTAGAGTAAGACAAGATAATATTGGAGTAGGACAAGTTAATATTGGAGTAGGACAAGTTAATGTTGGAGTAGGATAAGTTAATATTGGAGGAGGACAATTATATTGGAGTAGGACAAGTTGATATTGGAGAAGGACAATTATATTGGAGTAGAACAAGTTAATATTGGAGGAGGACAATTATATTGGAGTAGGACAAGTTAATATTGGAGGAGGACAATTATATTGGAGAAGGACAATTATATTGGAGTAGGACAAGTTAATATTGGAGTAGGACAAGGTAGTATTAGAGTAGGACCAGGTAATACTGGATGGGGAGCAGATAATATTAATAGGAGGACAAGATAGTTTTAAGAGTAGGACGAGGTAATATTGGAGTAGGAAAAGATAGTAATAGAGTAGGACTAGATAATATTAGAGTAGGACAAGATAATATTAGAGTAGGACCAGGTAATACTAGATGGGGACAACATAATATTAGGAGTAGGACAAGATAGTTTTAAGAGTTGGAAGAGGTATTATTGGAGTCGGAAAAGATAATAATATAGTAGGACTAGATAATATTAGAGTAGGACAAGGTAATACTGGATGGGGACAAGATAATATTAGAGTAGGACAAGATAATATTAGAGTAGGACAAGGTAATATTGGAGTAGGACAAGATTATGTTAGATTAGGACAAGATAATATTGGAGTAGGGTAGGACAAGATTATATTAGAGTAGGACAAGTTAATATTGAAGTAGGGCCAGGTAATATTGAAGTAGGACAAGATAATATTAGAGTAGGCCAAGGTAACGCTTGATGAGGACAAGTATTTATGAAGTAGGACAAGGTGAATGCGCATCTTTTTCATTTTCTATATTTTTTATTTATTGATGAAAAATGTCAATGTATAACTTGTCACCAAATAAATTTTCATTTTCTCTGTTTTTCCAGAACAACATTTTAAAGAGAAAAGATTTTGGATTTATCATTTCAGAAAAGTATATTAGACCTTTCAATAAATGTTATAAAACTGTATTTAAAATAATTTCCAACATAATTCCTGATCGAAATGAAATCATGGATTGAGAAAGTTTTAATCTGTTCAGTTTGACAGTTCATATTCTCCAAATATATATTTAATTCAATTTGATTTTCTCTTTCTCCTCAAATTTTGCCAGAAGTCTTCAAGTAAAGGGTGTCCCACCAAACATTACTGTTGAGCAACGACCTGAAGATCGTCTTTTATCATTAAAATAATTTGCAGCGTTCATTCGACAACCTTAACACATCGAGCAAAAAATTCCCCTAGTTCTGGGATTTCCAAGATGTTGTCCGCCTTGTTTGTACTTCCAATACTAGCGAAGATATTAGGAACGTATGATGTCCAATTTTATATTGTTCATTTCAAAACTATTTAAACCCATAACCCGTTTATTAGTTTTCGAAACAAAAAAGTACAAAATAGCTTTTGAATTTAACACTTCAAAAATAAGAATTGGGAAGCAGAAAAAGAGTAAATAAATTTAATGACAAAAGATAAATTGCCAAAATAATAGAAGAGAAAGTTTATTTCCGAATTTAAGTTTCATTGCCACCCAGATTTATAAAGTTCCGCCTCTAAATAAAGTTTTATCTCTATCTCTCTAAATCTTCTTAATTTGATTAATCAATCAAAGTATAATATTATATAGTTAGGCTTAAAGATAAGTTTCTCTCTTATAAAAGATTTGTGAATTGTTTTAGTTCTATAACTCTTCTCCCCCCCTCCCCCCTCCCCCTTAATTATAAGTTTTTCCAAATGATCAAATATTTTAAGTCATTAGAACAATAACGAAAATATTCAGAAAATCACGAACCTTTCAAGAAAACCGAGGTTTCAGGCAACAATTTATCTAACAGAAATTATCTGATTATTTGGGGCCTCAGGATCATCTTTAAGCGCGGAAAGGCCTGCTAAGTTGGGTTTCCAATTATTAAAAAAATTGGTAAAATGTGTAATTCCGAAGGAGTATGTATAGAAGGGAGATACAACTGAGGCGGCCCACCCTACCATATGATTATACTTGCTTTGCAAACGGTACTTCATTTAAATAAGAAATATTTGTCTGATGTACAATTACCGCGTATACAATAACCTATTTTGAATATTTCTTATAAAAATGGAGTACCGTCTGCAACGCATGTATAATCATATGGTAGGGCGGGCCGCGTCAGTTGTATCTCCCTTCTATTCCATACTCCTTGGGAATTCCAGACTTTTTAAAGACTTATAATTTTTACATTCTTTAAGTTTCAGTTTTTTTATAATTGAATGAATTCTAGGAGAAGGAGGCCGGGATGGATGTATCACCGATGTGTGACAGGGACAACGTCACAATAGAGAAGTCCCAGGTTGGGTTCATCAACTATATTGTGCATCCTCTATGGGAAACCTGGGCGGAGCTCGTCTATCCTGATGCACAACAGATCCTTGAAACCCTGGAAGAGAACAGGTATGATTCCGTGTAGATCAGAGAGCCCTGGAGAACAGGCATACTAAGTCTTACTCCAGGTATATCGAGAAACATGGAGACCAGGCTTATTAAACCTTACTCCGGGGAGATCAGGGAACCTTAGAGATTAGGTGTACTAAAACTTACTCCAGATATATCGAAAAACCTGGAGACCAGGTTTACTAAACCTTACTCCACGTATATCAGGGAAACCTGGAGACCAGGTTTGCTAAACCTTACGCCAGGTATATTAGGGAACACTGGAGATCAGTTATACTAAACCTTACTCCGAGGAGATCAGGGAACCCTAGAGATTAGGTGTACTAGAACTTACTCCAGGTATATCAAAGAACCCTAGAGAAAAGGTTGACTAAACCTTACTCCGGGGAGATTAGATGTACTAAAACTTACTCAGAGGAGATCAGTAAAGCCCATATATATAAGGTCTACTAAAACCTAAAAATATTAATAAAAATCCCTCCTCTAGGCACACGAGCCACAGAACTTTGCTTTAATTTGTAATTCATACATAAATTCAAATTTTATATTAATGCACCAGCCTTACACCTACATGGCACTCTTCACTCCTCAAACTCGCTCTCCTCCTAACTGAGATTGAATTCTCTCCAAGAAAGTGTCAATAAAACAGCGGATCCCCTTTAATATTCATTTTATTGCAACTTAAGCATCATCTGAGTAGAGTGCAAACCTAGGGATATTTGAACCCAAATCCAGCTTAGTATTCAAATTTTTAATCCCCCCTCTCTCCTCCCCCTGCACCGCAGGAAGGGGTAGCGTATTGGATCTATTGAAAAGTAGATAACATATATATATATATATATTTAAGGGCCTGGTATGAGAATATGATCCCCACCAGTCCCTTGGATACCCTGGAGCTAAAGGAAGGGAGCAACGAGGACGAGGACGAACTAGATGAGAACGTTTTACGCTCTCCCGACGATGATGAAGACGACCCTGAGCTAGAGAATCCTTGTGAAGAAGCGTCCCCTAAAGAGGAGGAGGAACCATGACCCTGAGAAATAAGAAGGTTCGGAGCTGAACTCCTAATTTAAGATTCCTGGTTTAGGTTCATGTTTCTCCTCACAATAATTGGAATATTTATTATATTGACAACGTAAGAGACCTATATTTGTTAAATGTATGTAAAATTGTATATTATAAATATCTAATACATATGTTACTGTTTTGATTTATCTTTAAGATTTATTTAATATATAATCTTTAAAGTTTCTGCTTATTCAGCATTTCTTAAACTTACTTCTCTGCCAAGGTTATCTAGGACCAATGGCATATACAGATTTTTTTTAAGACTAGCAAAAGTGGTTCAACCAACTTGAAATAAAGCAGTACTTTTTGCTCTTAATTAATTAAATAAAAGTTTACAGTTTTTTCGACATTGGTATTTCTGTTGGTTTCCTGATGATTTTTTTTATAAAAATTGTTATGAAACAGAAAAAACACAATCTGTTTGTGATCTCAAACATCAGGTATGAATTCGGATTATCTGTGTACGTCAAATGTATATACACGATATGGAATATTATTTTATAAAGTTGGAAATAGAATTCTTTGGCGCTTCGCATCTTGAAAGGAACTGTAAGCGTAATTTTAAATGACCCTCCAGGCAAAGATGGCAGTGTCATGATTCAAAACGGTACCCTTGTAACCTTTTTCTAATCAATAATGTGAAATGTTTTCGTCCTCCTAGGTTTAAAGTTTTTAATTCTGATAATTCTGTTAAGTTTTCTTGTAGTAGAAATACGCAAGTGAATTTTGAAGAGAATCTAAAATTGAAATTAATTAGTTTTCAAAATTATAAACACTGATATATAACTCATACTTGATCAAACAACAGTTGTGAATCGAGCATTGCATTCTTTGAATGGAAGGTCACTTGAAATTACGCATACAGTCCTTTAAGTCATAAATAAATTTCCCGTGGATTTAAAGGTTCTGCCAATATTCCAGATAATTGTGAGTTTCGATCACAATTTGACCCATTAAACATAACTTTTTTTCCAAAATACTTTTTTGTCGACATTTACATACATTTTGAATGAAAAAGTATAGAACAACAAATTCGTAAATTAAACATTATTGCCTCATAGGCCAAAACACGCTTAATTTCAAATAGAAGAAACCGAATGCTTCTAACTCAACTGGTTAGTCCGGGGTGACCCATCGCTATATAGCTAATAGCTATATACATTACAGTGAGAACAGTGAACACCGTACATGATGTTAATTGGGCAAATATTTAGTTCATTTTTGAATTTAAGTCAACTCCGATGTTTACCGAGAGTCCCTGTATATCTTATTATAATTCTAATTTATCCCAACACGAAAAAGATAAGTTCAATTATATCTCCGAAGCAAGAAACATGAAATAAAAAATTATCCGAAAGAAGGTTAATTTCCCAAGATGTCCACTATAACTACGCTTAAATAATATAAAAATATTCAAAAAATACAATATCTTATTCGCGTCTTGGCCCGAGCATCAGAATTTAAATTAAGATGATATCTTTTAAATGAACAAATAATGTTCAACTATTAATTTCTCCGTAGTAAAATCTGATGGTGTATTTTCCGCTATACTCCACTTCTGACCTACGCAAAATCCGCTATACTACACATCCGACCTACTAGCACGTGGGTTTACAGCTGCTAAATGGATTTGTGGCCGCACCGCTCGGCCCACAAATTGTCTTAACCTAACCAAACCCTCAAATAATACAAAAATACAAAGCTGGCGTAGGTCCGATATTGCAGTAGGTCGGAAAGTTAGTAGGTCAGAAGTTCAGTAGGGGGGTGTTGCGTATAGACAATATAACATTACCGTGAAATCTCTTTAATCAAATGAGAATTTAGACAGTAATAAAATATTCTTGTAAAAAAGTAGTGATCATGGTTTCTGACATTTATGATTACAATCAAAACGATTAGTTTTATGATTTACCAAATATTTTGTCAAAATGTCATTCATCAACGTTTGGGCATCTTCAGACGATTTACATGTTCAACTAGTTTTCAATATTTACTTGAGCCGGTTCAGTTCTTAAAGAGAAGCCTTTTCGAAATGAAATTTGATCCCGAGGAGTGAATTGGTTGAAATCCCATCTTTATCTACGAAATCTCGACTCTCCAGGTTCCGAGAAAATAAGGGATTGTGTGAGTAATTGAATACTCCTGTTCTTTACAAGGTTTGCAGCATAAAAGTATTCCTTCATATTTCAATTGAAAATATTGCTGGACATTTTGTTAAAAAACTACTCTCGCCAAAATTAAATAAAAATTTGACAACAAGATCGACACATATATATTTTGTACTTGATAAAGAATAATACAGTTCAGGCGGTTTCCATGAGAGCTGGCGTTGAGATCTCCTCGTTAAACATAAACTCATCCTGGTACTCCTTTAGGAACTCACAGCTCCTCTGCTCGTCCAGGAACAGGCTGTACACCCGTTTCACGTCCTCGATAGAGATCTCAGTCCCTTTCCGTCGTTTACTCACTAGGCTAGATACTGCTATCAACTGGATTGCATACCTAACGTATCAAACAATTAAAATGATTCTAAACTAAGTTTAACAGACCAAACCAAAACTATAACTATAACACAATTTATTTTAATTGACACATATTAAATCCAGAGTATCTTTGATTTTAAATTTCATCAAATTTTTCGTGTGAAGATTATATTTGTCTATTCTTAATTGCAATCTTAATAATTATGGGATCAGAGCTGAAAACTTCAGAATGAGATATTCTTAATCCCAAATACTTAATCCAATGGACACACTTTTGATTTGCTTCTTAAACCGTCCTTTCTTGGATATAGTAGAGAAAAATCAAACGCAGTTTTGTTTTTATAATTTAGAGTCCCCCCTGTTTCTGTATATAATCTTAAATGGCGCGCAAAATTTCAAATTTATCGGCTTTATATATGCGACTCTGATTGGTTAATTTTTTTTACACTTTTCCAGGATACGAGTACAAGATTAGGTTAGTCTCGATATTAAGAAAAAAAGGTTTAAGCATTAATCTCAATATCCACTGTTCTAAAGTTTTCAGCTCAGTGCTTGGAACTAGGGTTGTTGATATCGAGATCAATGGTTGATCTCGATCTATTGTTTATCTACGAATTATTTTATTATTTACTGGATATCCCGCATGTTAATAGTACCAGTAGTCACATAAATGAAGAGACTAACCATTCATCTTCAAATTAAAAATGGAAATAGTTGGGGGGTACTACTGGGTATAGAGATTGAAGCTTTTAGCTGCACAATCATGTCAGATATCTAGATCAATGCTTCATCTCCTCTTTATTTTAATCCAGGAAAGGATTCCTACCTGAGACTGGTTTCTCCGGCAACCTTGGTTAGTACTGTCAAAGCATCCTCACTGATCTCACAATCCTCCTCCTCACATCTAGATATATTTCATGTTCAAATTGTTTTGATGAAACTTTAATTTAAACAATTTTTTATCACAAAAGAATTTTTAGGGGAAACGTGTGAAATGTATTTTATGAGGGCATGATTCTAACTGAAAAGATAAAAATAAAAACACGGGAAAATAATTTGACGGTATATCATATTCATGAAAAATTGTTAACTCTTCTCACATTTCTCCTCTCTCAATTTTAGAGAAAAAAAGAAAAATTATAATTGTGTGGGAAATAATAATTTTGAGTTAGTATAATAAAAAATAGAACACAAGGAAACTATAAACAATTTTCAAACATTTACCACGGGTTTTATACTTTTAAGCAGTGCTTAGGATCCGGATCCTCAAAAATATGCGGATCAACGGATCCGGATCCAAGGGACAAGATATCAACAAAAAAAAATCTAAAAAATTTACTCTCAACTATTGAAAAAAGAGGGATTATAAAAATTTCCTGATTTCTGAATGGTTCATCAAGTTTTAGCATAAAATTAAGCGAAAAAAGCCAAAAAATTTTGAAAATTCTGCTTCGTTAATTTTTTTAGTAAATTTTATGGAAATCCGGATCCATTTTTTTCCAACGCGGATCAAGGATCCGCATCAAAATTAAATGGATCCTAAGCACTGCTTTGAAGGAATAAAATACGAAGGGATCGTTTATGGAGACCACAATTGAATTAATAAGTTCGGTAAAGTACGATTAAATTAATATATTCTAGTTACCTAATCTTGAGTATCTGCTTGAGCTCTTTGTCGTCGTATGATGATGTGGGGATAATGATGGTTCTGTCCAACAGGTCCAGGGGGATACCATGGGGGGAGGTGTATGAGGTTCCGCGGATTTTTGTAATACCCCTGAAATACGTACATATGATTTTACTACTATAGACTAGCTGATGTGCCCGGCGTTGCCCGTGTAATTTTAAAAAGATTTTTTAACCTATTTCAGCCCATTCGGTCGGGCCGTTTGGCCGGCTATAGGAAACCTACATATTATTTTATTATATAGATAAACATGGATGTAAGCTCGCGGTTTAAAAACTTCGACTCGAGTCGTAATTCCTTAAACCCGACTTTAAGACACAATCTTCGGCCCAACTCTGACGACAGCTTGTGTCACGTGATTGCAAAATATTCAGCTCGACCTAACTAGTTAGGCCCAATAAAATAAAACAGAAATATTTTTTAACGATTTCGAGGATAGATGAAAAACCTACCTGTTAGTAGCCATAACTACAATAGGAGCCATATCATCCTCGAGAGCTCGGTTTAGGAAGGAGAAACATTCGATATCCAACATGTGAACCTCGTCAATAAATAGAACTCCAGGAGCTATCTCAGCCTTCCCTTCCTCTCTCCACTCAGATACTTTAGCGTTGATCTGGTCTCGAACCTTCAAAGTCATATACTAACAATTGGGTAAATGGGTGCAGTGTGTACTGTATGTGCGTCTGTTTGTGTTGTGTGTTTGTGACTCCAAGGTACTTGGTAGAAGTTTAACTTAAACGGAATATTCCTGAAAACATCACAGTTGTCCACTTTTCAATATGTATATTCAAAAATATTGGACATAGTTTGGGTCGAGGGTAATTTTGCAAATGAAGAACAAAAGGCAAGAGGGAAGAGAAAAGGGGGAAGGGAAAACGAGGAAGAGTGAAGGGAAAACGAGGAAGGCAGAAGGAGGAAGAGGGAAGGAAAAAGGGGGAAGAGGGATGGGAAAAGGAACAAAAGGGAAGGAAAAAGGGGCAAGAGGGAAGGGACAAGGGGGAAGAGTGAAAAGAAAAAACCACAAAAAACTAAAATTAACAAAAAAACTGTGACAGAAATGCTTTAAGAAATCTCAGAAGGATATTTTTGGGGCACTAAAACGCTCAATCATACTACTAAAATCCAAAAATTTTCTTTACAGGGGGGGATTTGACCGTTATCAATAAGAGCTGCTCGGAAACTGGTCAATCCAAGAAAAATTCCGACCTTTGTTTACAATTTTTGTTATTGTTTTGATAAAACTACTTCACAGCAGTCCTAATACGTCAAAGTAGAATGTTCACACAAACTATCTCCCTCTCCTTAGTTAAATCACATTGATTTATCCGAAAGGAAACCCCTGAAGTGGTTCGTACAATTCTGATTTTATAGTTTTAATCAATGGTAAGTCCAAACCAAAGAAAGAATTGGATACCTCTGGTTTGATTTCTCCGGTATCTCCGGAGAACAGGGCCAGGAAACCTTGAGTTCTTGAGTTGATAACATCTATCTCATGAAGAGTAACTGTATGTACCACCTCCTTCCTCTTCTGTAGTTCACCTTCAGGACACTGTACAAACCTTGTACTGGCACCTTAATATAATATCATTTTTAAAGGAAATATCGACGTAAATTTAAGTTTCACAACATGCCCCTTTAATTGTTTGTATTAAGTCAACAATCCAAATTATAATAAAGATAGCGCATGTCGTCAACACCATACCGGAGGTACTAGCTTCCGACATACAGTACATTGAATTCAAAGGTTTGCGGCAAGTATATTTGTACAGGCAAGTATATTTGTACAGGGTACAAATATATGGGGTGATTTGTTTAGAATAGAGTGGCGACTTTCAGTGCAACAGTAAAAGCTAAAATAATTAATGGGAGTAGCCCAGTTATTAAACTTCTTTAAATAATAATAAAAAAAATACTCTACAGATTGACCCCGAGAAGTAAAACGTATTCAATGACCTTTTAAATGACGAGTTCATTGTGTACAAGGGGTTGTACAATTTTCAGCTTTACAGTCTGCATTAGCGATCTATTCTCTTGTCTTTGTATTTATCCTAATACATTGATTTTCACGCTTTGTAGTGATTTTATAGAAAAAATAATTTCAAATTGCAATGAATTTAAAGAGAAAATAAAACTCTAAAAAGGAAAAACTTGATAAAATCTGAATAAGGGAACGTGACCTGTAACCAATTCCCTCAAACCCTTGATATTTATTTCTACCTGTTGCGTCATAATCTCTTGCTCTTGTGAAACTTCTCCCCAGTTTTGTTATCTTCCCGGTTGCTTTATCAATTGTCACGACGTCTCCGGCCTGAACCTTCTCCTTGATCACACACTCAATCATCTTTGTCCCGAGGTCGTAAATCGTCTCCATCTCTGTTGTTTTCAGGGTCAGTTTTCCAACCTTGGCTCCGGAACCTGCAGCTGGACGGTCAATCTGAACCTCTACAACCTCACCCTCGATAATTTCTGTTTCTTCTCTGATCCGAACTCCGATACTTTTTCTAAAATATTTATAATAAATGTCAATTCTAGTACGCATTAAAAAAAATATCAAAAATTCTTTATCAAAATTTATGTTTATTTACTTCTTCAATTTTCAACAAATTGTCCATTGCTTTGTTAAGTCCGGAATAACTTTCAAAACCAACCTAAATGCTTGTGTCAATGCTTCTGTTTTCCCCATCTCTAGTGAATATATTTCACTGCCCGCCATCGCTGTAAATGGTGTATCTGTTCCTAGAGCTTGCGCCATTCCCATAGCGATGGCGGTTTTACCGGTGCCGGGTGTTCCAGCGATTAGGATTGCTCGACCGGCGATTTTTCCTTCCTTGACCATCTCAACAACAACTCCTGCTGCCCGTCGAGCTGCCGCCTGTCCAACCATTCCCTGTGATATAATATAGGTCATAAAATAAGGCTAGTGACCACTGATCAATCCTGAAAGGGTGTGTTCGCTAAAAATGAAATGGGCTGATTTTTTGGCCGCTAGGTGCGAGCAGAGGCATCAGAAAGACCCGGAATTAATTGTCAGTTAATTTGGCCATTTTAAATACTCAAAAAATGCAGACCACATTTTGGAAATGGCAAAACTATAACTATTTTGTGATTATCGTTTCATCAATCATAGTTGTAAAATTAGATTTAAAGTAGTCTGATTTCAGGCGTTTCTGAAAAGGAATATATAAATAAAAATATTTTGAAATATCAACAAAAACAAAATACGAATCATCGAATTGAACAAGATTGTAATATCTGAATTTAAATCTGATAGAACTATTCACGATGTGAGTGGAATAATGCAACTCTGAATTTCTACGGACACTAAACTTTTAGGTATGAGACGTTTTCAGCCATTTTCTTCTTATTTACGCAACAGATAAAAGTAAAATTAGCAGGGATTGATAACGAATTCATGTCAACACCCTCTTTCATATTAGCGAACAGTTCATTTGACCAAGACATTAAATACAAAATATAAAATACAACCCACATAGAAGGAAAAGTATCAAAACCGTAATTAACCTAAGATCATGTTTTTTTTTTAAAGTAGTTGTTCTCCGCAGACTAAAAAAACCACGTCTCTTCAAGTTGCACTGGTGCACAAGATAATTAAATCTTGTGCAACGAACCAATATTTTTTAAACCAGCTCGTTCAGCTCAATTTTATATGAGCCATAAAATTTTAAAGGTGATATGAACCAACACTATTTTATAAATACACTAGCTGAAGAGCCGGCGTTTGCCTGTGAAAAAAAATTTTTTTTTTTGGATTTTTAAGCCTAGAACACCCACCGGCCACCCATGAGTGTCCCAAAAAATGTCAGCCCAATCGGTCCAGCCGTTTTGCCGGCTATAGGCAACATATATATAAGTACGAATGTTTTGTTTTATTTGTTTGCCAGAAATCAGCTTTAAATAAATGTAATATTGCATTGATTCTTCATAAGAAATTTTATCTATTTAAGATAAAACTAAGGATCAAGTGTGGTGTTCAGGGTTTCAATTAGCTGAAACTTTTTAGTTTATTTTAGGAAAATTTGACGCGCGGGGGAAGGCAGGCGGCCATAAGCCACAACATTTTCCCCTTCCATGCCTTATGCGCCAAAACCCTACGGTCTTCCATGCCACACAATTTGAGTCTTCGGACAGTTAATACGTTTTTAAATGATAAATTTACGGCATTGAAAATAATTGTGTGTTCAGTTAATAAACTTTTTTACATTATACACTGAAAATTTTACATCATTTTATGCATTATTGGCACTGAGACAAATTGTTTTGGGTAGCGTTAAGTAAAAGAATCGATGAGAAAAATCACAAGATTAACTGTCATTACCTAAGTGATACAGTTTTCCTAAAAAAAATCTATTTTGCAATTTACTCGTAAAAATTTGCAAATTTTTGGTTATGGGCGCCCTTTGAACTTTCAGAGTATGCTATGGTGCATCATTTTTGTTGTTCATGTTTTCAAAAATACGCCATTTGAGGAAAGATTGAATTTATTTTTGAGGAAAACAGTTTACAATAAAAGGAATCGTCATTTCTTTAATTTAAAACTTAATGAAGTTCTTTATATATATCTTTTGCATAACGTCGATGGATTTATAAAAATCACAATTTCAATGCACTTAATGTATTTGATTTCTGAATAGTTCAAGAGTTAGCCTAAAAATAAGCGGAAAAAATATGACCAAAAATTTGAAAATTATATTTTTCAGATCCATTTTATTTCCTGCGCAGATCCAGGATCCGATTAAATAGATCTTAAGCACTGCATGAAAGGCAAAAATGTTGTGGTTTATAACCGCCTGCCTTCCCCCACTAGTTTGACAATCTTTATGAAAATTGCCTTTTATTATAATAAAAGATAGGTTTGTATGTTATTGTTAATCGGTCTATTGGTAAAAATGATCTTTTGTCATAAAAATACGACTTTCTGTAGTGGCATACAAAAAGGTGAATTTTGAATTTGTACAGATCTGTTTCCAAGGTGCAGATCCAATTTTGTGCTATAGTTGCACATGTTGCGAATGGAAACCCTAGTAATGACTCAATAACAGAAGAAAATTATTTTTAAATATTTTTGCAGTCTTTTACGTACTTGGCAATTAGACAAGCCTATAATTATCAGATTGTTAATAATTATTTCAGAAACGTCAAGATGATTTTCTACGTGTTGGGGACAGTTAAACTAATTCACGGTACTCGGGCACGGGTGTCACAACTTAACAAAACTCGTTCACGCTCTTTGTTATTTAACTATACCGTCACGCTTAGATACATCAATACTTAAACCCCATTTTCTTAAACATGCACTAGATTTTTACTATTTAATATAAATGTTGTCCTAAATCAATTTAGAGCGTGCAAAGACTCAATAAAAATCATACAAGTAACCAATCTCTTAAAAGTGTACGCAAAAAATTTTTCGTGCTTCGATTTGGTATATCGGAAAGGCTCAAATAAACAATTAAATAGTTATTTATTTTCTTCCTTACTGCTCAATTAAGTCTTGAAAAGTTAAAATGCCTTAATATCCGTTTCCCTGCAGGACTACAAATTAAAAATTATGTCCTACGAATAACAATTCTCTCATCTCAATCTAAACCCTTAGCCTGCAGTACCTGGGAGACAGGACGAGGATCTAAAGAATCATCTAACCCTAACCCACGAATATGACTGTGTGCTCCTATCCTCTCTATCCGGGTTATTTCGCGGATTTCCGCAACCTTAGCTACCGCATTGGCCGCCATTTTATTTCTGGAAATTCAAAATGAATAAGATGGTTTCCTTCACATTATTTATTCAAGAGAATTACAGAGTTTAAACTCTGGAAGGATACAGCATAACTCTAACCCTGGATCCCATGGCCTGGGGAGGAAGGTTGCGGTGGAACTTGGCGCGGACGGACCCGGCGTTTCCATGGGAACGAGTGACCTAAACAAAAGATTGGTAAAGAATAGGAAACCGAAAAATAATTAAGAATTCTATTTATTTATCTTACAGTTCTGTTAATAAACGTAAAAATATTCTTACTTTTAAAAAATACATCTCTCCCTCTCGAGTATAAAATATTTTAGAAATAAAAAATATCTTAAGGGTAGAAAATCTTTCCAATAGAATTAAATTTACTATTCTCTTTCTAAAAATTAAAACCTCCTAAAACTGTAAAAATCAGAAAATTGAAGAGATAAATTATTCTAACTACCTTTCCCCAGATGACACGAAGGTGGGACTTCTCCTTGCTGTTGGGCACGGGGGTTATGTTCTTGGCCTTGTACACGTAGGCGCATCTCTTTCCAATATACCAGCTAGAAATATTATATATTTAGAACAAATCAAGTATTAATACAAGGATATCTAACAATGCGAATAATTATTCCAATAAACCAGAGAAATTCAAACCATCTACGTTCTCAATTTATGCTGCAAGGTTTTCAGAGTACCCCCCCCCCCATCCCCACTATTAGAGAATAAGTTTCAGTTTTACTCAATGTAGAAATGGATGATAAATGAAAAAGTATTCAGTGTCTGAAGTATAAATAAGAGATAATTAATGAAAAATATATTCTGTTTAAGTCGAAGTATAGATGATAATTAATGAAAAGTATATTTAGTTTAAGTCGCAGCATATATAAGAGATGATTAATGAAAAATATATTCAGTTTAAGTCGAAGTATAGATGATAATTTAATTAATGAAAAATATATTCTGTTTAAGTCGAAGTATAGATGATAACTAATAAAAAATTATTCATGGTCCAAGTATAAATAGGAGATAATTTAAGAAAAATATATTCAGTGTCGAAGTAGAAGTAGGAGATAGATAATACATGCAAATTAAATTCAGTTAAGTTAAGTATAGATGATAAACTGAATTTATTTTGCATTAATTAAGTCGAAGTATAGATGATAATTAATGAAAAATAAATTCAGTTGAAGTCCTAGTATAGATGATAATTAATGAAATATATATTCAGTTAAAGTCGAAGTACGGATGATAATTAATGAAAGATAAGTTCAGTTTAAGTCTAAGTATAGATGATAATTAATGTAAAATAAATAGTTGAAGTCCAAGTATAGATGATAATTAATGAAATATATATTCAGTTTAAGTCCAAGTATAGATGATAATTAATGAAATATATATTCAGTTTACGTCGAAATATAGATGATAATTAATGAAATATATTTTCAGTTTACGTCGAAGTATAGATGATAATTAATGAAATATATATTCAGTTTAAGTCGAAGTATAGATGATAATTAATGAAATATATATTCAGTTTAAGTCGAAGTACGGATGATAATTAATGAAAGATAAGTTCAGTTTAAGTCCAAGTATAGATGATAATTAATGTAATATATATTCAGTTTAAGTCGAAGTACGGATGATAATTAATGAAACATATATTCAGTTTAAGTCGAAGTATAGATCATAATTAATGAAAAATAAATTCAGTTTAAGTCGAAGTATAGATGCTTATTAGTGAAAAATGTAATCAGTGTCGAAGTATTAATAGGAAAAATATATTCAGTAGAAAAAGCTGATAAATGAAAAATGTATTCAGTGTTTTAGTATAAATAGGAGATAATAAAGAAAAATATATTCAAAAGTAGAAATAGATGATAAATGAAAAAGGAAATCAGTTTTAGAAAAGAAAAAGAAGATACATTATTCGGAAAACACTTTAAAGGACGTGAAAAGAGCGTATCTGAACAAATAATGTTATGCAATTTTAGTAAAATATTGTGTGCAATTAGTTAAATCTTATCCTTGCTACGAGTACCTGGCTTCTTCCTTGTTGGCGCATCCCTCCATCTTAAGGAGAGCAGTGTTCTCGTGCTGGTTACGCTGACCGCGCTTGAAGCCGGTGAACACAGCCTTGGCGTACAGACGACCGGACTTAGGAGCCATCTCTCTGAAATATTCATGGTTTCTTACTGAAGGTATTTTGTTAACTGAGAGAATAGAATAGTTTAATCGATAATCCGGCAAACTCGAGCTTTTGTTAAATCAATAATCAATAATGGCCCCATTGAGTTTAACAGATAGTCGATCGATATAAAAATTTACAATTATGTCGTTCTTTTACTCAAATTGGTGAACCCGATACCAACGCAGGTTAAAAGAACCTTATCCGTTCCAGTTCTTAAATTCTCCTCTTCAGATTTAGTTTCAAGTTTGAACATTGTATCGACAAAATCTCTGATATGACGGAGGAACTGCACAGTATACGGAGAGAGAGGTCCAACAAGATATTTGGATACATCTGCAGGTCCCATACTCATGTAGAGCGCGGCAAGGCTCTGAGAACTCGAGTCCGCACATCCTCCTCGGTAAATTTCTTCCAGAAGCATCTTAGCTCCGAGTACACCTAGTTCCTCAGGGACTGTTGGATCTCCGCCGGATGGGTTGGAACAAACCTCAGCAGACAATATCATCCCTAGATAAAGATAAAAATAAATGTGTAAATTTAAAGATTTTTTGTCAAAGAGGTGGGGGTATCTATATTCAACATGTGAAAACTACAGTCTATTCGGATTTTAAAATGTGAAATCGTAGAAATCAGACAATAAATTAAATACACAAACCTGACTTAGTATCATTACACATTTCATTTCAACATGTTAGGGAAACAAAAACGTGCTTATGTGTCGCAAAGATTTACCCGCCTCAAATTCATATTAACAGAACATTGTTAAAGTTACATATAAAAACTTCGTAACCAACTATTTCAGATAGACAATACGGGAATTTTAGTACAAGACTCGCGCAAATAGAACAGTCCCCCTATGGTAGAAGTATGTTTTGAGTCCCAGGAAAACAATGAAGTAATAATTAAAACTGAACCTGTATTTGTTTCTGCGCTGAGGGTCAGACCGAACCCAGGTGATTTCCCTGATTTAGCTCCAGTAAAATGATCTGTGTAAATATAGACGTCAGGGATAAATTTGAGAAGAATCCCTTTTGTTGCTTCCACAACACGGTTCGGTACACTAGGAGATACTCGGACAGCCCAGGCAGTTCCTCGGATACGTTTGATCTTCCCTTGATCAACAATCTGGACAGGACGGAGTTGTCTCTTAACAGGACACCTGAGCAGGACCTGTCCTCCTCCCTGAGGAGCAGCTCCTCGTTTTAAGATCTTTATCTCTAGTCCTTCATCATCCAGGAGAAACTTCCGAACTACAGGGAGGAAGGATGCCTTGATGAGGTCAACGGAGGGATCTATCTGATTATTAGTTACTCCGGTTAGTGTCACGTGGAGAGGATTCTTACAGAACGGACCCAGAGCAAGTAGAACCTCAAGGAAGTATCCTAAACCTCGCTCAACACCACAATCGTGCTCAATCCTGCCACCAGTCAGGATTCCAGGTTGACATAGAACACTAGTTCCTGTCTCACTCACTTCAATCTTGGATCCGTTAGTTATCTTCCCGAGTAGCTGGATTAAAGAAGTTTCAAAATCTCTCAATCCCGGATCGTCGTCCTTGTACCGAATTTTAGAAATTTTAACAGGTCTGGATGTCAGAATAGAAAGGATAAGCCGCTGTCGTAGGAAATTACATCCATTGAACTCTTTGAACTTCTCCCGCGCCATTTTATCTGCAAGAAAATATAATTAGATGCAGAGTAAAGAGATAAAGAACTTTAAGCCATGAACTCGTATGGGATGGGTCCAATATCTTGGGGCTGGTTATCCTTGGTAGATACAGTGTGGGCAGGGCGGGGAGCCAGAGGGAACCTAAAACAGTCATATTTAGCCAACAGAACATAATAAATTTAGTTCTGAAAATTCGTAAAACTATGCGGAACAAAAGTACAGTGCAACAACATAAATAAAAAATGAAGAGGGGTTTAACACAAATTGAAAACTTGGTTGAACATCTAACACAAAGCTGAACGCTCTGATCCAGTTTTAATAGTCACGCTGTAATTAACAATATTTTATCATATGACATCTTTAATAGTCACGCTGTAATTAACAATATTTTATCATATCACATCTTTAATAATTGCCAACATACAGAATTTTGCGATACGTAGAAATTTTCAAATATATTGGGTTTCAGAGTCAAATCCATTAATATCCAAAAGAAATCCTTACTTAAAGAAAGTAAAATAAGCTGATAATTAATGTCACTGACACTACATGAATGTTACCTTTCAATTGATCTATAAGAATATTAAGCTCAAATTAAAAGCAAGTTTCCAAAACTCTATTCATTTAAACTTAATTACAACGTACCTCTTGCATTCGACGAGCTTTCCAGTAACCTTCTGCTCGCGCTTCTTGACCTCGTTGGTGTGGACACGGTCCAAGAAATCCTTCCTGCACTGGGAGTGCTTAACGTGCTCAATACGCACAGAGATCCTCTTGGGTAGAATCTTTCCCTTAACCCTCTTGTTGACGACAACTCCTACGGCCTGCTTGGAGACGTTGAAGACACGTCCAGTCTTGCCGTGGTAGGACTTATGGGGCATACCTTTCTGGAAGGCACCACAACCTATAATCAAGAGTAGAATCAGCTTTATAAATCTATCAAATGTCGACAACTCTCCCGCCATTTAATCAGAATAATATTACTGGGTTATTAGTGAAATAGACATTAAACAGAACGTATTAATTGTTACAAAATATGCAAAATATTGTTTTTTATGGTAAATGTCATTTAATAGGCAAAATGTATTCAAATTTCGTAAAAATAATTTCCATATCGACCCGTATCCGAATTAGAGTCAAATACGACCAAAAGAAGGGGGGGGGGGGGTTTGTAGCCGGTCCCGACAATTTAAATAAAAACTTACCCTTGACATCAACAATGTCTCCGATCTTGTAGTTCTTCAGGTAGGTGGAAAGATGCTCTACTCCTCCCTTCTTGTAGCCACGAGAGAACATGTCTCTCGTTCCACGACGGTATCCAGTAGGGTTCACCATCTTTTCTGAAATTTAATATTTGTACTAAAGGTTTTACAATACAGGATATACATATATACAGACGAGAGGACAGGTTCGGAGAATTCTGTTTACTCCGTCCATCGATGATGACAGGTTTGGTTTGTACAAACATAATACAGTCTCATCTCTGCAGCAGCCTTGATAGTATCAGACTGGAAGAATACGGCTTCTCTGTGCCTGCACTTGGGACAAGGATGATCCTCAGACCTAGGGAAAGATAATTTGAGAATTTAGAAATGACAAGTGATTAAATGTTCACATGAAAATGATAATCAGTATTAACGAAGGGCATTACAGCAAATCGAATAATGGTCAACAAAAGGTAGTATTCTTCGAATTAGCGGAGCAAAAAGGTTACTCGTAATTTATTAACTTGGACTTGATTCTCAGTACTATTCCACTCGACGAGAAATAATTGACCCCCGTGTGAAAATGTGCACAGAATCGGTGATAAGGATCCATTTAATTTTATTGTTTCTCATAGACCCGCCTAAAATAGAAATGGTTCCGAAGCCACAACGGAGTCATGGCCAAGGACGATTCTACGTTTAATTCGGATGTTTTTAAGATAGAACGTAGAAACAGTTCAGATTAGTGTTTAAAAACAAAAAGTTTAATTCATATCCAGATCAAGGATTAAGCATGCCAAACCCAACGGATCCAGATCATAGCTAGAACCAGTGCTAAGAATCCGGCACGTTGGATCCGCAAGATTTTGGCTTCCTGGATCCGGATCAATCGGTTAAAATATCAACCAAAATCAGTAAAAAAAAAACACACCTTTTTTAATACCAAAACCCAATACTGAACTTTGAAAAAAGAGAGAAAATGAAAATTCTCATTAGTGTTTAAAAACAAAAAGTTTAATTCATATAAGAAATTATCTTTACCTAACAATACGGGATCGCATGAAAAGAAATATCGTTAAGGCACAGTTGGTACTTATACTTAAAATTCATTGTACAATGCTCGTAGCGATAATCTTTGTAGTCGTTAGTCAAGAAATAACAAAACTTCTACTAATCTTTTATCTAGTTGGGGACTTACAGTAGCCCCCCCCCCCTCATCCTTTACGATTTAAGATTGTGACCCAGTGGCATCTTGTTTTAGAGGCCATGTCAATCTAAAAGACTTTTTTGCGTTTGCACTTTTATTCCTCAAAAAACAATAAGACTTATTTGTAGTTGAATATTTTCCAAAGGGTCCAACCCAAATGTTGATAACCTGAATTGAAGGGGGTAGATTTTAAATTCACGAGCGGAAAGGTAAGAATTATGACAAGGATACAAAGGGGGAGACAAGAGAAGGATACTAGGGAAAGTATTTGAGACTTGGCAAATTAGTCAAAAATGTGCTTGGATGACTATTGTGTTTAATATTATTTTGGGAGTTAGATTAGGTTAAGACACTTTCTGGGCCGAGCGCTGTGGCTAGGACAGGCTAGAGGCCGGGCGCTGCGGCCACGGGTTTGGTTAAGGACACTTTCTGCAAGATCCATGTACTACTTGATAGGAAGGGGGCGCCAAAAAAAAACGTTCTCTAAGAAATTAACCAATGGAACGTCATTTATAGATTTACACATGGTTGCAAAATAACTAAATAAAATGAAACTGTTTGCAGCTTCATGAAACACGATAATCATTGAGATAAAATAGATAAAACAAATTTAAGTTGGTAAAGACCGTAAATGGTAGTCTGGTAATTTACAGCATACGTGATGAAAAATAAAATCTCAACTATTCGTGCACTAAAAAGCAAGATTCAAATAAGTATTTCATATTAATTTACTTAGACATGTGAATAACGAAACGTGTGAGATAACCCAAGATAAGACATGTGACATACACAATTTAACATTAATTATTTTAAGGTAAATACTAAAAAATTTCACCTTTGGGTACAACATGTTGTTGCACTCTTGGCAAAACCGTATTCCAACAAAACCAGGCCCACCTTCAGCCATAATATCTGAATTCACAATTAACTAGATTAAATAAATAAGCTTGAAACATGTAGATATTACAAATAACACACGAATCTGATGAGGATCAATGTTTCCTCCAACTTTCCAGCACAATCCTTAGGCATGTTGAACCGGAAACTGTAGCTTACCAAACCAAACCGTGAGGAAGAATGCCGAGATACTCTACACAAATCAGAAATATTATTCACGCAACCTTCCAACAAATATTAAACTTTTTCCAATTAAAATAAAAAACATATATTCAAATTGAGCTCTGTCGTCCAAGTTAGACAAAAAAATTTAAAAGGGAACATACATATTAGTAGATATTCAGCAGAAATATTGATTTAGTTTTGGTTTGAATATTTCTAAGTTTGAGTCGTCTTTGTATGAAACTAATTCTGTTTCCTGTGTATACAATTTATTTTTTCTAAACTCAAAACAAAACACAGATGTTTTGTTATTATATTTAACATTTACATTTTCAGGTATTTTTTACTGTAGTAAGGATTTAAAATATCTTACATAATTTATGGTTCAATAGTTACAGAAGTTAGCAATACGTTTTAATCTAAATACTAAGATTTTTATGTTGTATTTAATCGGTTAAATGTCACCAACAATTAATTTCATTAACAGAACAGGAACATTAATACCCACAACAGAAATTATAGATTGCCTCTCTGGAAAATATAAAATTTTAGTTGCAGGGATATATATTCCCCCCTCCCCCCAACCTCCCATGCACTGGGGGTCAATAATGAAAGATTCGATTTCAACTTTAGTTTTTCACACTTACGAAAATGCATATATGTTCCAGTAATTTGTTTTTGTTTTACCCTAATCAGAGGGAAAACCTCTAAAGAATACATTTTCAAGAGGGTAAGTGTTAGGTCACTTTGGTTCATTTTTTGGTAAAGAAATCAAATTTTGAAAACTTAACCCTCAAAAATGAAACTACTTAATTCATTAGGTGAGTGGGAACAAAAATATTGTTGACAAGAAAATATATATTCCCGGTAAAAGTCTAGCTGCTGTGTAACCCATATAATATTTTAAATAAATAAATTAGTTTTGTTTCAGATGTAAGAACCAGGGATTCTGACCACCTAGTTGAGAATGTCGGGAGGATCAAGTAGTTGGACCATGGGGAATCAATCCAACATGTTTCCCCCTGGCCCCCGTGGAGGAAACGATTCAAATTTCCCCCGTGTTCCTGGTGCCGGGGTAGTCGGCGGAAACGGTATAACCTTGAAACTTCTGCTCTCCGGCGAGGAGGTTAAATATCTGTTCGGAGCCGAGGAGATACTCCTGAACCAGCTGAAGCAGCAGACAGGAACTAATATTACTCTGACAGAACCTGGTCCCCATGAACGTGTTCTCTCCATCCCAGGACCTCTGGACTCGGTCTTTAAAGCTTTTGGACTCGTCTGTCGGAAACTGTGTGAGTTTGTTGTTAGCTTGTCTGATCCAAGCAACCCTAAGATGCTGGTCCTTCGGCTAGCCGTTCATTCCACCCAGTGTGGAATGGTTATTGGAAAACACGGAGCAAAAATCAAGGAAATCAAGGAAATGACTGGGGCTAATATTAACGTATCTCAAGAATCCCTCCCGGAGTCTAATGAGAGAACGGTTGAGATAATTGGAACAGGAGACTCGTGTCTACAGAGTACTTTTCAAGTGTTAACAGTGTTACAGGAGAATCCGCCAAGAGGAGAAGTTGTTCCCTACGTTCCTAAATCTTTAATGAAAGATCTGTGGAAACCTATAATACTAGCTGGAGACAAGGCATATATTATTGAGAACGGAGTTGCTATACTTGCTCCCCCGGAAGTTGTCAAGAAAGCTTTAGCGGAAACCCCGTTGGGAAAAATGACCGCGGCTTTTCCCAACTTTGATGGTCCCGGAGCCCCCGAGCATATGAATCCTCTCGCTCTGATGACCGCAATCTCGACCTCTCAGCGTGACCGGCAGTTGGGCGGAGGTGGACCGGAGATTGTCAAAGTGATGAAGATAGCGGATGGTGTTGCTCCATACGTTATGGGGAAGAATGGTTCAAAGGTTGGAGAAATCCGGCAAATCTCTGGAGCTAATGTGACAGTTAGCACGGACGAAGAAATCTCCGAGTCCGGAGAAAGAATGAGATCTGTGATTATCAAGGGAACTGCAGAATCTGCTCTGCTAGCACAGTTTCTCATCCAGTCCAATATTGATATATGGAAAAAGGAACAGAGCGCGGAATGGAACGAGGAGCAAGGAGGTTATCAAGATGAGTATATTGAGAACTCGGATCATGGAGAAGGGTTTGGATCGTATAACAGGGGGGGACCTCCAAACCAGTTCTTCCAGGGTAACCCCGGAGCAGGCAGGGGAGGAGCGTATCCCTACCCCAGGGGCGGAAGAAGATCCCCTATGGACGGAAGAAGGGGGAATATGCAAGGCGGAGGGAATGGTGGCGGAAGAGTAAAAGGAAGACGACGTTAAAGATTTATGAATTGTGATGGGAGTTAAGCCAGCAGTCCTTAAAAATGTAAAAAAATAAAAATTTGATATTTTCATTTTTTCTCACTTGTGAAATAAAATGTTAAGGTATTAGTATATCTAAAATCTAAAATAGATCAATTCTCGGAGGCTACCTAAATATTTGGGTTTGCATAATCAATCATGAGGGTAATAAGAAGTTTTCATAATGAAATATTGGTTTTAGAATATATTCTTTGTGGTTGGAAATGAAGTAATAAATGAGTTAAAGGTTCTATTTATTTTATCTTAAAACGAGCTTTGAAAACAAGTTTTACCTGGAGTTTTCTATATAAAAGTCAACCCTGGAACCCAACTTGCCCTCGAAGCTAACCACTCGGTTTGGAATTTAAAAACCAGATAAGCACACTTCTGGATAGCTAGTTACCCAATCAAAGTCTGAGGCAAATCGGTCAAGGAGTTCCTCAGTTATGATCGGACACCCAGACAAACGGAGAGTAATACTTTATATATATATATCGATGAGACCAATTGTAACCTTCTGAACGTCGGAATGTCTAGAAGAAGGATACAAGGCAATGAAGAATTTTTGCATAGTTAATACTTCAGGATGTCCCAATAAACATAAGAATTAAGTGACGAATTAGAATTTAATGTAAGAAATAGCGTTAGGGACAGCTGCGCTCTATTTGTGAAATTCTTTTACAAAGTTTAACAGTATACAATTTAAACATAAACAAAAGCTCCTATAGCTGGCGAAACGTCTACGGATTTCAGCTTTCCTGTAGTAGATATTACCACACTAAATCAAAAAATTATTCGTAAAGACGATCTCACCCAATTCTTATGTTTATTGGGACACCCTGTAATCTGTATGTCTTGTTATGCAACTTGAGAACTAGTTTCTATTTACAAATAATCCATTTTTTTACACTTTACATAAATGAAGCAGAGGCCGAATTTAAAGAATTTGAGGCACGGCTCAAATATGGTTGGTTCCACTTAAAATCGTATTCATTGTTTCAAGATTTAAGCCGGCACTCAATTGAAACCGGTTTTTGGCGGATTTAAGACGCGGCTCAAATTCATTAAATTCGGACACAGGTTAAACTTGTGCAACTCTACTGATACGACTTTGTGACCTCGTAGCTCCTCTAGCTTAGACTTTACCAAGCATGAGAATACCAAAGGAATTGAGTCTTTGTCACAACCTCAAATTTACGAATCCCAATATCTTTGAAACCTGACGGAGTAAACCTTTGATTACGATAATTTAAATTTAAATTGATCAAACAGAATTCATATAGTTTGATTTTCCAATCCATGTCGACGTAGACCTTAAATATTTCAAATTATAAATTTGAAATATTATTAACGAATTAAGGATTGGAAAATTTGCGCTAGTGTACATAATTAACTCAATTCCTTTAATAGGATTGTTCCATTAATACCTGGTTTAATGGAAGACTAATATAATGGTGATTTTACTTGTGTAAAGATTAAAAGATTACAATTTGAGTGTTAAGTTCCTTAATGGATAGATATTTTTCAATGATATCTCCATTTTGTGTGTCTAGTTGGAAGTGAAAAAACCGTGTATTTCAAGAAAATTCGATTTTCTCAATTTTTGTAAATGCACTGGGAAACTCTGCAAATTGCAGTATTTTTGTACGTATTGAAACTATCGAAACATACACGACTGAACCCACAGCTAATAAAATTAAAGCAGGTAATGAAATTAAAACAAGAGTTAAAAAGAGTTACAAATCAGAAGGGCGCAAAGTAGAGTTGTGCATCGCTACTATCCGTTTTTTCAGGATGTTTAGGTTTTCAGGGGACCCTAAAAATCTGAGAAGTTTAACTTTTTAAAATTGTATTCTCTTAAAGTTTGCATTGACTACACTATGCAAAATCTTGACTCTGCCTGAACTCGCTGAACACTAAAGCCTGAACGATCTCTTACATCGTTTGTTTTCGAACGATTAGTATGCTTCGTTGAGGCTTATATTGTCTCTTAGGGTCAAAATATTGGAATTTTATTTCAAATTAAGTACAGTGGTAAGCGATTATATCAATGCAATACAGACGGCATTTTTATTTTAGTTTTGATTGTTAACAAGCTTTTTTCGAAATAATCAAAAGAGAAGCTTTTTAAATTGACAGTTTCTCGGACTTCTATGTATATATGTTTCCATACTGTTTAACAGGTTGATATAAATAAAAATTTTAATCGTCTATTGTATTGATAAAATCACCTACCACACTGATAGAATTCTTGGATTTTTTTTAAACCAAAAATCTTAGAATATCGAAATGATGATCACCCAAATCTAGTGCGAAGCGCTTTAGAGGCTTAGGTTTTTTATATAATATTGCATGTTCAAATTGCCTATTGCTACATACAGAGTGCCTGACCTGTACCTGGAGTAAGGATGGGTAACTCTGAGAGCAATGAGTCCGCAGCAGTTAAACGGCAAGCTGAGGGGTTATCTAACCCTATGTACCAGGAAACTACAATAATATATAATTTTATTTCAAAAATTAAACGTAAGGAAATAAATACTTGCCACAAACGCTAATTATTTATTAATTAAATATTTTTGCAACCTCGTCGTATGTCGTAGAACTTTGCAATGTTTGAAATATCAATGGTTTATATGAATATTGCAAAAATAAAGGGATTATAGAAATAAGTTGTTTATAGCGTGGAATTAGCTTATTTTTTTAAATCCATATTTATGGTACAAAAGTTTATTACAAATTTACAATGTTTTCAACAGTCGATCTTATTTCATGATCGCCCAGAAACCCATAAAAAAATAGCTAAAATTTTAAAATGTTCTTATTGTCATTTGTTGTAGTTGCTGGATTTAGGGGTAAGTATTAAGTATACCCAATCTATAAATTAAAAGCTTGGGGATTAAGCTTTGCTTGGAAAATAAGGTTTCCTTATAAAATCGACCTTATACACTCAACTTAATGTTGAAAGCTAAGAATATTCCGCTGGATTTAACGAGTTCACCAATCTAAATTTGAGTCAAATTGGCCAAGGGCTTTATGTGTTATGATTGATCATACAAACAAACATACAGTCGGACTCACAGAGATCACCACTATAGTATATATTTAAATGATTTTAGCAAAATATGTCACATTTTTAAAAGACATGAAAAAGTTATTGTGCACAAAATTGTTTTCAATTTTTCCATTACAAATTTTAATAGAATCAGCTTTACAAAATTTTTTTGAATTTTTCCATTAAAAATTTTAATGGAATCAGCTTTACAAAATTGTTTTCAATTTTTCCATTACAAATTTTAATAGAATCAGCTTTGAAAGCTGATTCTATTAAAATTCGATAGTTTCGATCAAGAGATGTAAAAATTAAAAACTTTATTTTAGCGCTGCAAATGCAAAAACTCAAATCTTAGATTATAAAATCATAAAAACAACCTTAAAAACTAGCTACTATAAAAAACAAAACAAAATCCTTATTTGAATATAATTTGTAGAACTTAAGAACCAAAAACTAAACGGTCTGATACATTTGATTATAAGATTACAACCGAATTAAATTAACACAAATTTAATATATAAAATATGTATATATACAGGGTGAGTAAAAAAAAGAGTGATTTAAAATTTTTTTTGATAATGATGATGATGATGATGAAAAATTAATTGAGATATCATCATCATCATCATCATCATTTAAATGCTATACGGCCCCTACAACCTTTTCTCATGCAAAAATCGTAAATTTCTTTACCAAAAATCTAAGAGGATTTTAATTTTGTTGCGTGATTTCAATGTTTATGTTATATCTCCAGGGCGGGGGTCTTCTCTACGATCTATCGAAGAAAGCTATGATCACGAAGAACTACACGGAACTAGACGAAGCAATCCGATCTAAGATTCGTCCGTACCTGTACAATAATGGAGACGGAGCGTGGATTCATTGTGCGCATCTTGCTTGTCTTAGAAATAGGTATTTTTACTAATACCGAGGGATTGAAAAGATTTCCACATGTTTTCTTCTTTTTTTTTAGGGATAGACCGAAATCGAAGATGTTCGAAGTAATTCGAAATCTAGGAGATGAAGCCTTCTCTTTTAAATTCGAGGGAAGTGCATTGCTTGATAAACTCATTGGAGGTAGACATGGTATTTTCTTATCGGAAGTATTATTCCAAAAACAGAGTGCATTCTTCCATTCATTCTCCTAGTCCAGCTCCGTTCTTGTTCTCGTTCCATTCCTTCTCCTAGTCCAGCTCAGCCCTTGCTCTCGTTCCTTCCTTCTCGTAGTCCAACTTTGTTCTTACTCTCATTCCATTCTTTCTCCCTAGTCCAGCTCTGTTCTTGCCCTCGTTTCATTCTTTCTCCTAGTCCAGCTCCGTTCTTACCCTCGTTTCATTCCTTCTCCTAGTCTAGCTCCATTCTTGCTCTAGTTTCATTCCTTCTCCTAGTCTAGCTCCGTTCTTGCTCTAGTTCCATTCCTTCTCCATTTTACAAAACATTAAAATCTGAATAAATATCCCAGGAGCGACTAGAGAAACCAATCCTGAACAGTTCACAGAACATTGCTGGAATGTAGAAATAAGGTTGAATTTTGTCCTTTTCAAATATCGACTAAAATCATTCTTACAAATTGTAAATTTTCAAAAAATACTTTCACAAAATATTTGTATAGTCTTTAAATAACATTCTTTATAAAGAGGTGCAGTTGGAGAAACTACATTCCATGTTTGTTTCCTTATGGGCACTCCTATACACATGCATTTAGCAAAACGGTAAGCTATATATTTATCACTTTTAAAGAGCATAATTACAATAATGATGATTACATTCATTTCGTTACTTTTTGTTCATGGTCTCATTTCTAAAGTTTATGGTTCCCTACAGCCCCTACAGCTCCTACAGCTCATACAGCCCCTACAGCTCCTACGACCTACAGCCCCTACAGCTCATATAGCTCCTACAGCTCCTACAGCCCCTACAGCTCCTACAGCTGTAACTTATTTTATTTCTTTGACACATAAACCATTTAAAAGTATTTTCAAGAACATATTTAATTAATATATTTAGTCAGAACTTTTCTGTTGTAAATCTGGGAATAAAGCATTGATCTCCATGCTTAAGTAGATATACGGATTAACTTAATTCCTCTTCAATATACCGTAATGATCATTAATCATACCCTGGAAGGATAATTTTAATTAAGTGATCAAGTATTGGTTCTCAAGTTTAACAGAACCCACATTGGATATCGAATTCAAGAATTTAAGATTAATAATATCCACAGAAAAGTTTTTGACTGAAAATAGGGATTACTCCGGTTTAATTATATGAAAGGGTCAGGTATCTTTACATCCTGTAGATACACTTATCTAAGATGTAAATGCACAAATCTACTGTTTTAAAGATATGAAAGATTTCTTGATTATCAATTTTCATTTTAGTAAATAATCAAGACCTGCGCTAAAAATTTGTTTGGCTAGGGTTTTCACGGGTTGGACAGGGGAAGGAATTGAATCTTTGCCACAAACTCTGATGTTCTAATCTCTATATCTTTGCAACCCAAAGTCTTAGACCTTAGACATTTAGAACTATGAATTCTGATAGATAAAACAGTATAAGTTTGAAATATCAAAAGGTTTCCATTATTAGGTTGCAAAGTTATAGCGGTTATAAAATTTTATAAGTTTGTGACAAATACTCAATTCCTTTGGTTTATAATAGTAATCAGGTTAAAAATATACATTGAAAATGTCGAAAACCCAATAGGACGGTTTAAGTTGGTCGGTTTGTATAGTATCTATGACCAGAAGTCGGAACTTTTTTGTTGAGTTTCGTTAATCTTGAACGCTTGATTTCGATATTCAATGTGAGCACTTTTAAATTTGAGGATCATTGCTTGATTTAAGTTATTCCTGCAGTGTATAACCACTATGTGATATAGAATAGGGATCAAATCAATCCGTATGTCTTTATAAGATGGAGATCAATGCTTGGTCATACAAGTTTTGGCTTCAGGTTGTTAAAATGGTTTCCTAAGCTACTGCATGATGTATACTTGAGCGAGGAATATTATGGAGAGAATGTTCTTCATATGGGCTGCGTAGCTGAGGACGCTTCTTTAGTCAAATGGTTGTTGGATGAAGGCTCAGATATACACAGGTAAACAGAAATATGACCTGGAAACTTTTAAATGGACGGAACTGATTTAATTCCTTTGAACCGGCCTGATTTAGATTATAATTTTTAAATTTAAAAGTTGCTAACTCTGTAAAGATCATCTAAATCTTAATTAATTAATCGCTATGACCGATCCACTATGATTTTCAATATTCTGCAAAATAATAATACAGGACGGGTCACGTAAATACCAGACCAACTTTTAACCAGCTATAAGCAAGCTTTACAGTACAATTATAGACTATGCAANATTCTGCAAAATAATAATACAGGACGGGTCACGTAAATACCAGACCAGTTTACATGACAATACGATTTTCGGACTTAACTTACAATTGAACATTAACAAGTTGTTATTTTATATATTGTTGTGCATATAATTAAAAAATATGTTTTTAAAGAAACATGATTTTAAGAAATATGATTTTAAGAAATATGATTTTAGAAGAAATATGATTTTAAAGAAATATGATTTTAAGAAATATGATTTTAGAAGAAATATGATTTTAAAGAAATATGATTTTAAGAAATTTGATCTTAAGAAATATGTTTTTAAAGAAATATATTTTAAACTAGCCTTATAGGGCGCTTCGCGCCCATATTCTAAATTAATTGTGAACATGTTCTCTTTGTGTACACCGTAAAACAAAACAAAAATAATTCGCGGATTTTCACAAAAAATTTCGTGGATTTTCAAAATTTTCAAAAAATATTTTTTTTAACTGGAGTACAATGCCTAGGAGATGTTATGGAAATTTCTTCTGTTGTGACGACCAGAAGATGTCAAGATCAGATGCCATTGACCATGAGGAGGTCGATATATGCAACCGAACAAACTATAAAGGTCAAATCTTCTAAAAATAATCTTTTTTTTTCCTTTTTTAAGCGGTTGTCAGAAGATAAATTATTGAAAGTTAATTAGCTTATCAATATCAATCATCTATTTTTAAAATGAATATTTGGTTTATTTCTTTATTTTTTATTCTTTTAAAAGTCTAAACCGTTCTAGCCACAATTTTTGGTCACATGACCCCAGGGAAGGTTTATGATCTGAGCTGGGAGCTTTGTGTTGGATACTCAGATATCGATATACTTTGTGGGCTGTTTTATTTAAGTATCTATAAGAACCTTTCCATATCTTCATTTTAGTTATTCTGCCCCTGATCAAAGCTCGCTTCAACCCCATGACTGGGATTACGATGCGGGATATCGGGTGAAGATTAAATTAAATCTACAAATTGATCTCGATATCCAAAATACAAGATTTCCCAGCTCTGACAGGACAAAATACAAGAGTTCCCAGCTCTGACAGGACAAAATACAATAGTTTCTAGTTCTGACAGGACAAAATACAAGAGTTCCCAGCTCTGTCAGGACAAAATACAAGAGTTCCCAGCTCTGACAGGACAAAATACAAGAGTTCCTAGTTCTGACAGGACAAAATACAAGAGTTCCCAGCTCTGAAAGGACAAAATACAAGAGTTCCCAGCTCTAACAGGACAAAATACAAGAGTTCCCAGCTCTGACAGGACAAAATACAATAGTTCCTAGTTCTGACAGGACAAAATACAAGAGTTCCCAGCTCTGACAGGACAAAATACAAGAGTTCCCAGCTCTGAGAGGACAAAATACAAGAGTTCCCAGCTCTGACAGGACAAAATACAAGAGTTCCCTGCTATGACAGGACAAAATACAAAAGTTCCCAGCTCTGACAGAACAAAATACAAGAGTTCCCAGCTCTGACAGGACATAATAAAAGAGTTCCAGCTCTGACAGGACAAAATTTGCCACCTAATTTTTTTTTTTTTTAGTTTTATACATTGAAGAACATTTATTGTTACAGAATTAGTAACATTGTAATGTTAAACTTGATACAAGAATTAGGGGTAACTGCCAAGTATCTTTATATTTAATTTATTTGTTAAAAAAAAAGAAATAATATAGCAATTAATAGTTTTTTTTTATAAATACTAATGGATGTAATAAAAAATGTAAATAAACTTTTTTACTGAGAAATAATTTCGTCATTGAGAACCTTATTGATGATTAGGATTAGTTTTATCTAATTGGGGCGAAAAGTATTGAAATATTTTCCCTCTTCAAAAATAGGAATCGGATTCAAATAAAATGGGGTTTATGAATTTATTGGTTTGAAATGTTGCATGGGACAACTTTGTTCTTTCATGTTTTCTTTATTTTAAATACAAAAATATTGACGGGGNAGGGAAGAGGACATAAATTATATTAATTCGTTTGCTTAGAGGGACAAAGGCGCTGTAAGCGTAATTTCAGGTGACCCTCTATATACAAAGATGACAATGAACTGTGGAAGATATTGTCGTTTTTTTAGGTTTAAATTTAATTTTGATAACTCCTAAAAGTTTTTCTGCTGTAGAAATGCGCAAGTCACTTTTGTAGAGAAACCACAATTGAAAATATTTAGTTTTCAAAATTATAAACATTGATATCTAATTTATTCTTGACCAGGCAAAGATGTGATGGGTACCGCGCCGTTGTGACTCAGGCATCTCCATCTTTGCACCCAGAGTCACTTGAAATTACGCATACAGTGTCTTTAATATATTTAGAATGATTTATGTAGGATATGTGTCCTGGGGAGAATATCCAATGAATTTTGCAGCAGTTCTTAACCAGGAGGAGATATATAGACTAATCCTAGCTAGGGTAGGTTAACTAGGAGATATATAATCCTAGCTAGGGTAGGTTAACAAGGATATATATATATGCCAAGCTAGGGTAGGTTAACTAGGGTATATATAATCCTAGCTAGGGTAGGTTTACTAGGGTATATATAGACTAATCCTAGCTAGGATAGGTTAACTGGGAGATATACATTCCAATCTAGGGTAGGTTAACTAGGAGAAATATAGACTAATCTCCTAGCTAGGGTAGGTTTACTAGGATAAATATAATCCTAGGGCAGGTTAACTAAGGTAAATATAATCCTAGCTAGGGTAGGTTAACTAGGAGATATCTAATCCTAGCTAGAGTCGGTTAACTAGGGTAAATATAATCCTAGCTAGGGTAGGTTAACAAGAAGATATATAATCCTAGCTAGGGTAGGTTAACTAGAAGATATATAATCCTAGCTAGGGTAGGTTAACTAGGAGATATCTAATCCTAGCTAGAGTCGGTTAACTAGGGTAAATATAATCCTAGCTAGGGTAGGTTAACTAGANTTTGCCACAGACTCAAATTTTTTAAACCTGATGGTCTAAACCTTTAAAAGGGTACACTAAGATTATTTGATCTAACAGAATTCATAGTTTGACATATTTAAGGTCTAAACCATCAGGGTTCAAAGATATAGGGATTATAAAATCAGAGTTTGTGGCAAAGACACAATTCATTTATGGTTATAATACTCTTCACTATATTTAATGTTCTGTTGCGTGTAAAAACCATTTAGTACAGTTGAGTTTATAAATTGTTTCTCACCGAAGTTCTGAAAGTTTCTGAATATTACTTTGATTAACAGGAAACTAATTTGCTAGCGTATAATAACAATAACATTTACTAATCATTTAATGCCTTGTGGTTCAGGTTGGAAATGTGACTTGCTCCGCCTATCCTCTAGCATACTTGGATACTATTGACTCCAAGACTGGAGAACTTAATCCTGTTTCTGCCTTGAACCTGATTGTTTTCGGACCTAAGATTGAGCATCTAGATCTTATAGGAACAGAGAAATCCTCTAAACTTGATGCAAAACAACTCAATTCTTAAAATCATCAAAATCCATTAAAGTAATCTTTAAGTGAATTTGATGTTGTTGCAAAGCAAATAATTTTTCCAGAAGCTTAAAATCAGCTTATCAACTAATGTGTATTATGTTCATAGAGCTCGTTATATTGACTCTAAAAGTCGTCTTCCTATATGACAGTTTTCTGCTGCTCACTTTATAAAATAATTATCGATTTGTCCGTCCTAGAGTATGTTGTTGTCGACTTGCTGCAAGTAAAATGGAAAAGTTTCGTTAAACGTGAATTTTTTACAAAAATGTTTCTCTATACAATCTTCTTCTGCCTTGCATCCTTCTGCTTTATCAGCCGAACCCGTCCACCTGAACCTTGTTCGGAGATTTACTCAAACCAAACCAAACCAAATACAACGGAACTTCCCGCATTATTATCTTCTCTCTCCGCCAACCTAACCCTGAATTTTAACCTGGATAAGAATGGTTCTGGCATTGATCCTGAACCTGAACCCGAAGATGATCTACCCTGGACAGTGGAGTTGGAGACAAATCTTCTCTCTTTAGACGAGGTTCTTCATTCCTTTATAATATAAATAAGTCTTTCGGAATCGATTTTTGCAAAATAAATCAGCAACATTTAAAGGGACTGTTAAGGTAAAATGAAAGGGGGTATAGACAGGGACATCAGATAGAACTAATATTGATCACGATCAACTGCTAAGATTTTAAGGCTTGAGCCTATACCCCCTTTAATTTTACCTTAACAGTCCCTTTAAATGAGGAAAATTGATCTAGGATTATTTTAAAGAAATAAAAGCCTTGTTCTCCTTTTGACGTTGCAGGAGGGATAAAGAAAGATAAAAGATCTAAAAAAAACAATGGATTATAATTATCTAGAAATATGATCTAATGTTAAGCGTTCTCTAAATTGATCATAAAACTTTTCTTTATCCCAGAATGTTGATGAGAGTAAGAACGAAACCCTGAGAGTTTGCTCCCGTTCAATCTGCTACTTGCTTGACTATGATACTCCTTTCAAGAAAGTCAAGCTTGGTTGTGAGATACTAGTAGTTTTCTTCGGTCTGCTATATCTTCTCCAGGTCTGTTATATCTTCTCCAGGTCTTTTATATCTTCTCCAGGTCTTTTATATCTTCTCCAGGTCTTTTATATCTTCTCCAGGTCTGTTATATCTTCTCCAGGTCTTTTATATCTTCTCCAGGTCTTTTATATCTTCTTCAGGTCTGTTATATGAATTCTCCAGGTCTGTTATATCATCTCCAGGTCCGTTTTATCTTCTTTTGATCTGTTTTATCTTCTCCAGGTCTGTTATATATATTCTCCAAATCTGTTATATCTTTTCCAGGTCTGTTATCTTATCCAGGTTTGTTATATCTTATGTTATACCTTATCCAAGTCTGTTATATCTTCTCCAGGTCTGTTATATCTTATCCAGGTCTGTTATATCTTATCCAGGGCTGTTATATCTTATCCAGTTCTGTTATATCTTCCCCAGGTCTTTTATATCTTATCCAGGTCTGTTATATCTTATCCAGGTCTGTTATATCTTATCCAGGGCTGTTATATCTTATCCAGGTCTGTTATATCTTCCCCAGGTCTGTTATATATTATCCAGGTCTGTTATATCTTATCCAGGTCTGTTATATCTTATCCAGGGCTGTTATATCTTATCCAGGTCTGTTATATCTTCTCCAGGGCTGTTATATCTTATCCAAGTCTGTTATATCTTATCCAGGTCTGTTATATCTTATCCAGGGCTGTTATATCTTATCCAGGTCTGTTATATATACTCCAGGTCTATTTTATATCTTCTCAAGGTCTGATATATCTTATCCAAGTCTGTTATATCTTCTCAAGGTCTGCTATATCTTCTCTAAATTAAAAAGAAAAGAATGTCTGTCTATGAATATAATAAATATAATAAATACTAAATATTTAAAATTAATTTTATTTAATTTCTTGATCTAAATCTTGAATTAAATCTGTATGGATCACAGAGGGAGGATAAGTAATTATCCTCCCTGTAAATAGGGAGGATAAGTAATTATCCTCCCTGTAAAGAGGGAGGATAAGTAATAAGCATTGTATTCAGCATTGTGTTCAGCATTGTGTTCAGCATTGTGTTCAGCATCGTGTTCAGCATTGTGTTTAGCATAGTCTTCAGCATTGTGTTCAGCATTGTGTTAAACATTGTGTTTAGCATTGTGTTAAACATTGTATTCAGCATTGTATTCTATTTGTTTAATGGAGGTGGAAGACACCCTGGCTCTGGTCATCATGTTGTTCAACGGTCCGTACTTCCTCTTCTTCTGCCGAGGATTCAAGCTTGTCGGTCCCATGGTTATCATGATATATAGGATGCTGGCTCAGGATCTTCTTAGGTAGAAGTTCAGGTAGTTCAGGTAGTTCAGGTAGTTCAGGTAGTTCAGGTAGTTCATGTAGTACAGGTATTGTATGTAGGGTAAGTAATTTTATTAGTTTTTAGGGTAGAAAATAAATTGTAAAGGTTTGGTTTTGTGAGGATCTAGCTTCAGGATTGATAACAAACAGGTGAATGTTCAGGTTCAGTATTATCTACAGTATCTTCATCGTTGGGTTCTCCCAGGCCTACTATATCATATTCCAGAGCTATAACGATCCAGAGGAGAATCCGCTCAATACATCAGTAGAGAGTGTACTCAGGGTAACTACCGACATTATTTAATTTTTGGACGAATTTTTACCTTTAGCCTTGTTACAGATGTTTTTTACCTTTGGTCTTCTTAAAGATTTTTTACCTTTAGCCTTGTTACAGATGTTTTTTACCTTTGGTCCTGTTAAAGATTTTTTTTACCTTTGGCCTTGTTACAGATGTTTTGTTTACCTTGGACCTTGTTACAGATGTTTTTTACCTTTGGTCTTGTTATAGATGTTTTTATCTTTGTCCTTGTTTTAGATGTTTATCACCTTTGGTCTTGTTAAAGATTTTTTTACCTTTGGCCTTGTTACAGATGTTTTTTACCTTTGGTCTTGTTATAGATGTTTAATTTTACCTTTGGTCTTGTTAGAGATGTTTAATTTACCTTTGGCCTTGTTACAGATGTTTTGTTGACCTTGGACCTTGTTTTTTACCTTTGGTCTTGTTATAGAAGTTTTTTACCTTTAGTCTTGTTATATATGGTTTTTACCTTTAGTCTTGTTATTTATGGTTTTTACCTTTGGTCTTGTTATATATGGTTTTACCTTTGGTCTTGTTAAATATGGTTTTTACCTTTGGTCTTGTTATATATGGTTTTTACCTTTGGTCTTGTTACAGATGTTTTTTACCTTTGGTCTTGTTATATATGGTTTTTACCTTTGGTCTTGTTATATATGGTTTTTACCTTTGGTCTTGTTACAGATTTTTTTTACCTTTGGTCTTGTTATATATGGTTTTTACCTTTTGTTACAGATGTTTTTTACCTTTGGTCTTGTTATATATGGTTTTTACCTTTGGTCTTGTTATATATGGTTTTTACCTTTGGTCTTGTTACAGATTTTTTTTACCTTTGGTCTTGTTATATATGGTTTTTACCTTTGGTCTTGTTAAAGATTTTTTTACCTTTGGCCTTTTTACAGATGTTTTGTTTACCTTGGACCTTGTTACAGATGTTTTTTACCTTTGGTCTTGTGAGAGATGTTACTTACCTTAAGTCTTGTGGCATAAGTTTTTTACCTTTGGCATTCTCACAAATGTTTTTACTTTAGTAAAAGATGTTTTTATACCTTTAACCTTGTTACAGTGATTCTTAACCTTTGGCCTTGTGGCAAATGTTTTTTTTATTATTGGCCTTGTGCCATACGTTTATTGCTTTTGGGCTTGTGACAGATGTTCTTTACCTTTGGCCTTGTTGCAGATGTTTTTAATGACCCTTGGTGAGATTGGAAGTCTGTGGGACGCTATTCATGAAACTGATCACGTGATCATCGGTGAGACACTTTTTAACCTATATCTATCTATAAAGCAGTAATCTCTGTTTTGGTGTTTGTTTATCTGTTTGTTTGTTTTTATGTCCGATCATAACATAACCTTGACCTATTTGCCTAAAATTTTGATTGGGGAACTTAGTAGAACCATGGAAACTTTACTGTTTTTAGCCTGGTTTAAAAATGTTGAGTTGGATTTTTATAGAGGAAGTAAACTTGCCAAGCAAAGTTGGGTTCCCAAGCTAGCAATAGCATTGACTTATGAATTGTCATGCAGATCGAAAAATTGATCATAATCTTAATAACTATTTATAACACTGTTATTTTGGTTCGCAGTGTTATAAACGTCGGGACAAAATTAAATCTAAAAAGGCTTGAACCTTCTCGATAAAGAGAAAATTTAAGTCAAAAAACTTCAGAGCACATAATAATAGTGTTATAGGTAATTTTATGAAACGTTTGTGTACTCGTCTTATTTCAATTGCCATTTCTAGATCAAATATAAGCTTTGAAACAAAGCAGAATTCAAAATATAAAGTTGATTTCAATTTAATTTTCATTTAAATTGAAAAAAATATTTTGGAAATACCCTAATTTTTTGGAGAAAATCCGGTCACCAATCAAAACTTTTTGGCACACGTGCTATAATGTTGTTGACAGATAGAAACAAGATTCTCAAGTTGAACAGACACGCAACAGAATAACCCCCGTCTCAAAAATCGATAACAAGAATTATCGTTATTTCCTGAAAAAATTACATAAATGATAACATATAAAACTGTTATAATGGATGTTTATAATGAAAAAATTCTTACGATCTAATAGCTGATAACAAAGGGTTAAATAGTTGGACAGTACTGAGACGTTTTAAACTTCTGAAATAAAATGACAATTAATTATTAACGAAAGTCACTCATTCTTTATATGAAAATATTCTTTGTTTAGCTTTTGAAAATGGATCTATTCACAATGCTCTAGGTTGTTTACGACTCCGACAGGGAGAACAAAGAAAAAAAGGAGGTTAAAATTGTTCGGTTTGGTTTTGGTGTCTCCGAGAGGGGATCTAAGTTAAAGACGACTTTACAAGGAGCATAGTTAATGGTTGACAAATGTACAGCAATTTCAACTTATAGCACGATGATTACTTTATAGCACGTTCATTATGAAATTCACGATGAAGTGAGGAAGAATGATAAAGTACACAATAGTTTCATAAAATAATTGTAGTCATTCTTCAAATCTCAAAACATAACTGAACTGAAAGGAAACTTTTGTGTTTGATATTCGACTAAGCCTCAGAGTCCTTGGTTTAGCTGGATATCTAACACACAAACTTCCTCTCCGGACGGTGAACTTGAACTTCACAACAGACAGTATTGTTTTCAGGTAAAATTCATTTCTTCATCTTCATATCCCTCGTGGTTGTTCTACTCCTTAACCTTCTCATTGCTATGATGGGAGATACTTATGCTAAGGTTAGATACTAGCTACTCGGATTCCAGGGTTCATCTACAGATTTTATGGTGTATGACTATAATGTGTGGCAGATTTTTTGGACTAAAATCCTTTTTAGGAAAGATTTTATGAACGAAGATACTACTTGTGGAAGATTTTATGAACTAAGATACTACTTGTTGAAGATTTTATGGCCCAAGATGCTTTTTGTGACAGATTTGTTTACTTAGATACTTTTTGTGTCAGATTTTATTGACTAAACTACCACTGCATCAAATTTTATGTTTCACCCTAAATTTTGTAAGTGTCATTTTTTGGGTGTATTGTACAATGCTCATTGTTCATGTACACAGATTAATCCTAGATATAAACCCGGCCCTGTTCTGATTATTGCTTTGACTAGTCCTAAAGTATAAGGTCGATTTAAACGTTCAGATTGCTGAGATAAAGAATGAATGGATGAGATAATGGGCTAGATATTCATAATTACAGATTGCTGAGATAAAGAATAAATGAATGAGATAATGGGCTAGATATTCATATTTACAGATTGCTGAGATAAAGAATGAATGAGACAATGGGCTAGATATTCATATTTACAGATTGCTGAGATAAAGAATG